TGTGTTTCTCAGTCCATAAGTAATACACTCTTTGCTCTTCGAGTGTGAGAACAGGTTCGGGCGCTTGAGTGCAAACTTTGGACGTGTCTTCAGCGCTAATAATCTCAATGTCCTCATCAGTGGTGTTGTCCTGCGATTGTTGTCCACTCTTCAAGTCATTCCAATAGTCGATTGTATTGCTGTTCTCCTCATCGGTCACAACAGTCACCGCATCGTTGTTCTCGTCCACAATGTCATCGCAATTGATCCCATCGTCAGTGTCTTCATTATAGGACACTGTGTTGACGCTGTCCTCCACTTTGCGCCGCAATCGTGTACTCCGTCTGCACTCAACCGTCTCTTCTGCGGGCGCTTCAGTATCGATAGCAACAACGGGTGACTTCTTCACGCATTTGTTGCGTTTCTGATCCTTCGGTGACTTTTTCTTCTTGCGTTTGGATTTGTTGTCCATTTGTTTGTTCATAATTTCGTTGCATTTGTTTGTCTTAAATGCGAAAATCGGCGCTAATTTCACCTCAAAGTCCACTGTTTTGGGCATTGTTTGCGAAACACGTCTCGCAATCGGTTTAAACACAATTCAAATCAATGCAAAAATGAGTGGAAATTGTAATCAAAAACAAAACAAACAATAAATGCCAAACAATTTGCGCCACAAATCCGTCCATAAATAACGTGTCGACCGAAAAGGGAGTGAATGTTGTGCTCGACATAAATAACGGCAATATTTTATTGATTGAATGTTTGGTTTAAATTAATTGTTAATTCAGTTTTTGATTCACAAAATGTTTGCCTAATGTCTGAAAGGAGTGTCGCTTTCGGTAATCTTCGGCCGATTGAGTGGTCAGAAGAGCGGATGTGTTTGAATGGATCAGCTCTTCAGTGATTAGTGCATACATTTGGCGCCAATTCAAAGAAATGGCGGTTTTTGTTGCAAAAAAGCCAATCAAGTGATCACTCGATGCCATCAATGGTTTCATTCATTCATATAATCATCACTTGATTTGATTCAATCATAATATAAACAAAGGAAAAGCCATTGAATTGATTGCACACCAAATGGAGAGCCAATCGAAGCGAAAGTTGTCTCCAATTAGTCCACAGTTTATGAAACCGTCGGATGTCTTCAAAAAGCGTAAACACAGACAACTGTTTCCCTCGCCATCCAAGAGATCCCCACTCAAGACAAGCGTCTATTCGCCGCTCAAATGTCTGGAGAACTACGCGAAGCCATCGCCACAGAAGAAGACATTCTCGCCGTTCAGACAGAAACGAAGTCCGAAACGAAATCAAATCCGAAACGCGTTTCCAATCGTGAAAAAGTCGCCGAAAGGCAAACGAAAACTCAATTTCCAGACAATTAGTGATAATTTCAATGTCTTAAGCATTGATGAAAACGCGAACATAGAGTCCGCCAATTGTCCCCAAAATAGGGACACAAAACAGCATTTGATTGATTGGACTCTTAAGACAAAAATACGATTTGTTTCAAACAAAGCGTTTGGATTTCGCGGCAGTTTTAGGGCCAGTGAAGAGTCGGCCGGAATCAGCGGTTTTGTTCGCTGTCTCTCTAATAGACAGTCAAGTAATGAACCAAATAGTGATCAGTCATCGCACGACTCAATGGATACTAGTTTTGCGTCACAATTGCATAAACAATGTCTCGTTTGGTCGCATCCATCCCTTCCATGGCTTACATTATTCCCGCGAACAGAGACTCCACGTCCGGGAACTCCGGTCGCGTCGAAAGCGCCGACATTTTCAATAATGCCAAACACACCGCTCGCCGAAGCGCTTCACACCGATTGGTGCAAAAGTGTCAAATCGTTGTATCAATTACTCAAAGCCAAACACTGTCCGTATTTCTATGTGTGCGCCAACTCTTTCACCGCATTGTTCAGAGCGTCAGGAGTGGCCGACTCTGACGACATCCACGTCGTGATGACTCCGACGACCACTGGTTTCAGAAAGTTGTTAACCGACGACGGAATCACTTTTTCCCTTCCCTTCTGTGACAGCAAAACACTCATTACAGATGACATGACTTCTGGCTTTATTAGCCTTAACTCTGCATCAGTTGTCACCGAAAGTGTCGATAATAACCAAAAAAGTACTGAAATTCTGGGGGAGGATAACGAAGAGCCCAACGCTTGGTTAGAAAGTTTGGGATTAAGTCAACAGGACTTTCCGTCCCTTCAATCTAAACGCAAAATACGGTATTTAATGATAAAATACGTTAAAATAAAATGTGTGTTAATTTAATTGATATCGTTTACAGAACTCCACAGAATTCCATATCGAGAATGAAATCATTAGTACTGATCAAAGGGATGTCAAACACACAACTGTTTCTCAATTTCTTGCTCAATACGCGGTCGTGTATCGCAAATAGTGGTCCGCTTTCGGGTATTCCTCCAACACTGTTGTCTCCGATCGCATTCCACGGCTCAACACTTCAATCATTGAAAGTAAAGCAAACGGTGGCCGAAGTGAACGGCTCTGACGAACCGCACAATTGTCTGGAAGTGAGTGGACCTATACTTCCAAACTGTATGAATGGTTTGATAAACCTTCTGAAGGAAAGTCACGGCTCTTTCAAGGCTTCATTCGCTTCATATGAGCCGACAATGGCTTTCAGTGCCGTAAACGTGTCAAAGGAGACCAACACTACGTCCAAAGCCTTTGCCATCGAGAACTTGAAGGACTGCGGACTCGATAAACAGTTTCTGACAATTGTCTGTTCGGACGACTATAGAGCTAACGAACCGATCGCTAAATTAGTCGCTAAAAACTCTATCATTCTATATAATCAACATTTTTAATATTTATTTAATTAATTAGAAAATAATTTGTAATTTATTTATTAAGTTAAGAAAACTATACACAAGATGTTTAACTCATTTAATTTATGGTATAATAAAAATAAAAAGTTTTTTCTATGAAATTATCATTTTGTGTGGAAAAGTGTATTGAAATGGAATTTAAATAAATAAAACCTAATCTCGAAAACATGTTTTCATAACAAAAAGAGCGATTCAATTGTCAAGTGCTGTAATACTTTTTTATCATCAGTTTTTTATTTTATTTGGTTTGAGTATAAAATATGTATCAAATGGTGATTAAAACATAAGTAAAGTTAGTGTCATAAATAAAAACAGATAATTATAGTGATATGCGAGTGATTAAGTGATACTATGCTCAGCACTCAGCGATCGTCAATGCAATGGAAACATAGAGTAGATGTGGAAAAAAGTTAGTGATTTGGTTGTAATTGTAAGGGTAGTGGCATTGGGTGTCATTAGATGGCAATAGAGTGGTTCATGCGGTGAATGGTTAGGATTGTTTGGTGAATGTGTTGTGAATACAGGTTTTGAATGAATGCTGGATTGAAGTGAATGCAGGAAAAAAGTAATCGAGTGGTGCTATGAGTGTATGAGCGCTGAGTGTGTGTTTGCAGCGCTAGACTTGTATCGAGCGTTTGATGCCATTTGGGCACTGGTAGCGAGTGCTGAGTCTCTCTCTATGCTGTGCTCACTATAGCTAATGTCTCTTTCTGTGTGCGAGTCTATGGTATGCTATGCTGTGGTGAATGCTATGTGAGTGTTATGCGAGTCACTACACGCACCACAACATCACTCACAGTATTCACAATACACTAAATCCAATCCAATGTATAACCGAAACATTGCTGGATATCATCAGCCACTGGGGCCGCCAAATGTGCCGCCGGGTATGGGTCCGGGTATGGGTCCACCCGTGAGGCCACCGACCAGTGCTCTCAACTATAACTCGTCAACTAATGTCAATAATAACTCCCAACTCAACAACAACTCTATGACTCAAAACAATAGCAGTGCTAATAATGGCAACAATGTTGGTGTCCGATACCCCGGGCAGCCCGTCATGGGACCCACTCCTACTCTCAACCAATTGCTTCAGTCGCCCAACACTTTACAGCGCTATCAAAACAATTACAGTGACTATCCCAGTGCTGGACAGACACCAACACATCCAGCCAACAAGGATCACATCCAACACCAACACATCCACAACCAGTATAGGAGTCAAGTGAGTCTTACCATTGTCTCCACTGCCCGGTGTGTGCCCTCCCGTGTGGTGTGGGCTGTGGTCTGTGCGACGGGTCGGTGGTGTTCGCGGTGTCGGCGGACAGTGTCTGCCGATAGTGTTGTTGGCGATGGAGTGGTAGTGGTGTTGAACGCGTGCGCGGACTCCACTCAACACTATTGTCATGACATCAATACATCCAATATATGGAGAAAATTAAATATCAATTATTAGGCGCTCACCAAACCATCGCCAATCGCCGGCACATCACAGCCACCACTGACCCCCTCACCCAACACACCCCTCCCGCACACCCCCACCACTGCCACCGCCAGTCAGCTACTGGTTATCACACAACAGCCCAAACACACACTCGTCTCTCTCACTCGACTCCATGTTATTTTAGCACTCATTTCACTCCATATCTCCACTCAATTAGTTTTGTTTCACACAATCCTATGTCTTGGGATGTGTTCAATGGAGTGATAGTTAGTCCGACGACCACTTAATCAGTCGATGCCATTGTCTCCGTCCCTATCATAGAGTAGTGACCAAAATGTTGTGTAATGTAAAAGTAGTAGTAATAGTAGTATCGATGGTATATATAATGTTTAGTTTAGTTGAGTCCGTATTTACATGTCTATAGTATGAGAGGGTCTTCTCGTGTATTGTCTGTCAAATGGATTGAATGAATGAATGAAAAAATGTATGAATGAATTGATGCTAAATATAAAGCATAAGTATTAATGAAAAGATGAGTTTTGTTTTGTAGGCAAACACACACACTCTCTCCCTCTTTATCTTTCTCTCTCTCCCTCTCAATCATTCTCTCCTCCAATCTATGAACTCATTTACGCCAAAAACTGATCGCAAAAGCAATGCATTAAAAAAGTTTTTTTAAAAATTGTTTATAAGATTTTTATTGGTTTGCATTGAATTGCATTGAAGTGCTAACGAATTGACATTATTTTCGCTAATAATAATGATATGTAAACGCCTTCCCAACTAAACGTCACCTATTTTTTTGTGTGCTCTGAGACTGCCGTTCACTTCAATGCAAACGAGTTTAGAGTTATATTTATTGTTGACTTGTTTTATACGAAACACAAACTAATAAAATATGTTTGGAAAACATATTTTGCTTTTCTATTCTGCAATACATTAATACATTGCGAACGCAATTAAACGCACAAAAAAGATCACGTAATAAATGTATTTAATTGATACCATTATATATACACTACGCTATCGATTATCATATGATAGCAAAGACAACATTATTGCTGAATAACTCGCATATTGTCCACAGCTTTGTGTTGTATAGGTTTGAGTGGACCAGAGATGACCACAAATACTGTCAATGATTACCCCTTTTTGTGAATTTTGACAATTTTGTAATTGTAATCATTTGTGAATATATTTTGTATGGTATGGTTGTGTGCTGTGTATCGCCGGTACAGTGTATACCAATGCATAGGGTATAGCATTTAGTGTGTAGTGATAGGGAATATGCAGTGCATGTGAGACTGAGATCTAGCATAGGATAGCATAGGATAGCATGGATTGAAGCACTGCTCGTATCGCCAAAGGAGTCGTCGTTGGGTTTGCAATGCGTTTGGCATTTGAGGACTCCTTCCAAGCGATAGGCTTTCACTCAACTGCTCTGCTGTTCAACTCCTAGTACTTTGAGTCCTGTGTTTGAGAGTAGAACCTAATAATAAAGGCAGTGTTAGCACAACGCCTAGAATGCAACCCTGCGTAGAGACTACACGTTATTATGCGATAGATATTGAATGCGAGCCATAACTGACATTAAGGCAAACTGTTTGATAAATTGTGCCCATGTTTTAGCACACACTGTGTCTATGCATTGCTCACTACAGTATACACTACTCTCTCTCTCACACCACTCGCTGTACTTATACCGAATTGAAGGCAATATAAGCCCAACATCTATGGGCTATAACTATAAGGCAATGCTGTATATACTGTGCGCTCTCACAGCCCTCACAGCACTGGCAAACATCTCGTCGTCGTTGAGAAGGCATAGCGAAAGCACTGGCAATAGGAGGGCATTGCTTCCCAGAGCAGATCACACATTATATGTTGTGTTACATACACTGTAATGCATTTTCCCCGAGTCTTTCCCTACCCTACCAATCAACTTATCGATGAGTTACACAGTTGTCTCTATAATGTACACTACACTGTACATAGTGTATAGCTATAGTGAACAGAGCTTTCTCTCATTATCATTACCATACAGTGAATATAAATTATCTGTCACCCTGGTCACATTTTCCAAAACTCATTTACCATGCTTAAAATTCTGGCCCCCGACTCAAAATATTCTCTACACAAACCCTATTGTCTCTGTGAAAGAGAGGGAGAGAGACATGAGTGAGACTGAAGTAGTCGTGTATTATATCGTAAAGAATTTTTAAAAAGTTATTCAAAAAAACTTTAGGATTCAGTAATAGATGTAATGCAGAGAAATGTATGAGTTATGGCACACATGCGATAGTATTGACATTACTATGAATTGAATGAATGCAACAAATTGTCAATTATATGGACTTTTGGTAATTGATTTGCTATTATAGAGAGCGAGTGTTTATTATACGTGGGGTTTAGTGTAGTTTATGAAAGACACCAAAATTGACTCATTATAATCGCTAAGCATTACAACACCGATCGGCCAAACAGTGGCCAACACTCAGACTCACGAATATTAACCATCAAAAGAGTTACCAATTAATGTATACCAGTATTGGCGCACAAAACACATGACACACTCTATGATTATTTTGATGATGATTGTTTTGAATGAATTTTACATAATAGTTATACATGTATATGATATACCATAGTATGCAGTGTACAGTACGAGTAGAAATTCTAGTGTAGAATATAGATAATGTGAATATTTCAATATCTCTAATATAATTGTCACTGTATTTCGCTTTAATGTTTACAATGAATTAATGGAAACAATGATTATGTAATTACAGGAATCGGTTGTTTCACACAATTCTGCCCTTAATTTGGACGAGTCGTCCAATTCTAGTGAGAGGAGCACTCCGGGCAAACCGCCGACTCCGGGTCCGCCCCTCGGGCCTCAGGTGCGGATGAGTGGTAATCATCAACAGTCACAACACGCAGGTATGTCTCCCGGTTATGGCGGTGCCAGCAATGCACCCAACAATGCATACGCTTATGGCAATCATCAACAATACGGAGTGAACAACAATATGATGCCTCCGCCCACTTGTTACCCGACCAAACCCGGTGTGAACGCCAACACCAACCCCAACATCAACCCCAACCTGAACCCAGCCATGGGTAACATACCCTCCACGAGTCCGAACGGGGCTCAGGCCGCAGCTCAAGCCGCTGTTATCGCCGCCGAACGCTCGGCCGCCTTCACCGCTCGAGCGCCGCATACGTCCGTCTATTTGCGGCAACACTTACAGCAACGGATGTATCCGCCAAACAACCACTACTCACCCCACGGACCGCCACCTATGGGTCCTTCCGGTCCACTAATGCACGGACCGGGCGGACCGATGCATGGGTTGCCGCCAAACGAACCCATTCCGCCGACGGGCAGTGAAGCGCCGCCTAATTCAGGCTATCCTATGGGTCCGTCGCATATGTCAACTCCTCCCACATCCGACGCCAACAACTCTGCGGCCACTTCTGTCACACAAAGCATCACATCTCCACTTTCGGCCACACCTTCGCTGTCGAACAGTATCGCCGAAGTGAGAGCCGGACCGCAACCGCCCTCTATATTAGACGAGGCGAGTCAGGCGTCGACCACCTCTTCTCAAGCGGAGGACAGCTCAGACACACCGACACCGAAACACAACTCGAAACCACCGGGTCTTTCACACCCGCCGACGCCCAACACATTGGGATCTCCGGGAGCCGCCAGTATGTCGTCCTTTCACGACGAGTTCGAGTCGATGTCGAGTCCGAGTTGGCCGCGAACTCCCGCTAGTCCTGTAAGTTATGGCATGACATGACAATCAACGGATGAGTTGCTGTCAAACAAATGATTGAATTTGAATGAAAGCAATCAAAAAACTGAAAATTAATGCACTTTTGCTTATTTATCGCTTAATAGGTTGTCAACAGTCAAGGCTATGACTCGCACAGTGGGCACAACGTTAAGGTTAATCACGTTTTCCAATACCTCCTCTTTGCCTGACCAGTAGTCCAATACTGACCACTCGTTCCCCTTTATTAACCATTCATTGATTTCTTATCAATTGTTTGAAACAAATAGTGAACAACTGATCTAACCTTAACTTCAATTTTATTCATTGCTCGCATGCATTGCTTTCTATTGATAATTGTTTTTGATATTAATCTGCTATTGTTTTACAACCAATAACTGTATTGTCTTTTTTGATTGATGTGTAGCGTCCGGACGGACTCATGAAGTTGTACGACATGACTGATGAACCCGAGCGCCGAGTATTTCTCGACAAACTGATCCAATTTCAAGACGAGAGGGGAACCCCTATCTCGCAATGTCCTACAATTAGTAAACTCCCTCTCGATCTCTTCAGGCTATATATGGCCGTCAAAGAGAGGGGAGGTTTTGTGGAAGTGACCAGAGGTAAGCTCTGGAAAGACTGCACACACATCTGCAATATCGCCACTTCTTCGAGTGCCGCCTATACTCTTAGGAAACAATATATGAAACATTTGTTGCCCTTTGAGTGCAAGTTTGATAGGGGAGGCGTCGATCCCGTTCCCATCCTCGCGTCACTCGACAGTTCCAATAGAAAGAAGAATAAGAATGCAGTGCAGCCGCCGCCGCCACCGGAACAGCCATTCCAATCACACACCGGTCCTCCAACTATGGATGGTTACGGTCCCGGAGCTTATCCGCCACAACCCTTTCCTCCGCCACCGCAGAACTCAATGTCTAACTCTGAATATCCACCACAACATCTGCCACCGCATCAACAATCACCCTATCCATCACATCCACCACATACTCCCGGCTCTCATCCACCGCCAAACTCTATGTCTAACTCTGATTACCCGCCGCATCAACAGTCGGCTTATCCACCACATCCTTCTGGCCCTCCGCCGCCACAGAACTCAATGTCTAACTCGGAATATCCGCCTCATTCACAACCACCACATCAACAGCCCGGGTATCCGCCGCCTCATCCACCCGGCGCTCCGCCACAAAATTCATTAGCAAACTCGGAATATGCATCACAACAACAACAACAACATCCGCCACATTCACAGTCTGCTTATCCGCCGCATCCGTCTGGCCCTCAGCCGCATATGAGTGGTCAGACGCCGCCATCGATGCAATCATTAGCCAATCACAACGAGAGCATTAGTGTAAAGGATCCGTTTGCCGACGATTTACAACACCAGTCGGGATATCCCTCTCGCACTCACCCGCAACGGCCGCCATCACAGCCGCAATCGGGTCCGCAATCGCAATCTGGTTCGACACCAACTCCACAATCAAATGAATTCAATAGTAATTATAATAATAATTATCCCAATATTTCAGGACATAATTCATATTATAATTCAGTTGCGGGACAACCGACGGCTCAACCAAACCATCCGATGCCACAAAACCATTTTGGTGTCTATAATGAGCCTTATAATCGTCAAAGCGGTCAAACGGATCCATACGCTGTCCCTCCGCCACAAGCGCAGGGATATCCTCCACCATCTCGTATGTCTCATCCGACGCCATACTATAATCAACAACAGAGTTATGACTCTCACCGGACGGAGAATCGCTTTGAACCTCACACTCGTCCTCCATCTCAAGACTCAATGTATGGCCAACAGCCGCCACCACAACAACCGCAACCGCCTTTGTCTTCCGGTGGACATCAACTTAGAGGACAGTATCCAATGGGACCTTCTAGTGCTCAACCGGCTCCTCCTCACCCGTCAGGCACTCCTCCATCTTCTTCTACTCCCAATTTCACGAGAAGTGATTCGTCACCGATTGGACAGTACGGAAGCGGCGCTTATAACGCAAATCAAGAGAATTTTAAATCTAATGATTATCAGGTTTGTTGTCGTATCTGTCATTCCCGCTGCATCTCTGACCACTATTTGCCATTTTTGCCACATATAAAGTCATGCATTGAATTCAATTTTGATTCCACTGTTGACGACACACATCTTATAACACGAATCATTGCTTTATTTTATTTAGACTCACAATACAAGTCACTCTAATTAAGCAGTTATTTTGTGACAATGTTTTAGTTTTATTTATTAAATTAATATTGAGATATCATTGTATTGGAGAAGCGATTCAATGTGTTGTTTAATTCTTGAATCAATAGTTCAGTTGAGAATAGATCAGTATTGAGAATAGATTTTTGCATATTTATAGAGATTTATACAAGTTTTTGATTGATTTAAATTTATTTTGCAAACTATGAAATGTTGTGAATATTAAAGACTGACTGCAAGTTAGAATCGATAAAAACTTTTTTGTCTAAATTTATGTATCAATTGAAGTTCTGATAATTACTGAGACGTTATCTAATATAAATGTATATTCAATGCTATAAATTTAATGGTATTTAATATCTATACACTTTCACAATGTTTCGATATTTGTCTTTATAAGTGAATTAAAATGTAATTTTGATTTATTGCTATAAAAAGTGTATTAATAGTTAAATTTAATAGTTTTCACAAAATGACAAACAAATCATTTTGTTTTTAATTGAGAAAAATGCATAACAATATTATTGTGCATTTTATGATATATCTGTGCGACAGTTAATTTTGATTCCACTGTTGACGACACACATCTTATAACACGAATCATTGCTTTATTTTATTTAGACTCACAATACAAGTCACTCTAATTAAGCAGTTATTTTGTGACAATGTTTTAGTTTTATTTATGAAATTAATATTGAGATATCATTGTATTGGAGAAGCGATTCAATGTGTTGTTTAATTCTTGAATCAATAGTTCAGTTAATCAGTATTGAGAATAGATTTTTGCATATTTATAGAGATTTATACAAGTTTTTGATTGATTTAAATTTATTTTGCAAACTATGAAATGTTGTGAATATGAAAGACTGACTGCAAGTAAGAATCGATAAAAACTTTTTTGTCTAAATGTATGTATCAATTATTGAAGTTCTGATAATTACTGAGACGTTATCTAATATAAATGTATATTCAATGCTATAAATTTAATGGTATTTAATATCTATACACTTACACAATGTTTCTATAGTTGTCTTTATAAGTGAATTAAAATGTAATTTTGATTTATTGTTATAAAAAGTGTATTAATAGTTAAATTTAATAGTTTTCACAAAATGACAAACAAATCATTTTGTTTTTAATTGAGAAAAATGCATAACAATATTATTGTGCATTTTATGATATATCTGTGCGACAGTTTATAAAAAGTGTATTAATAGTTAAATTTAATAGTTTTCACAAAATGACAAACAAATCATTTTGTTTTTAATTGAGAAAAATGCATAACAATATTATTGTGCATTTTATGATATATCTGTGCGACAGTCACTACAATAAGTCACTTGTAATATTTTATACAACGCTATGATATCTGTAATTAAGTTTGTCTTAATTGATGATACAATTGAGTGTTACGTTTGTTTGCGTTGACGTAATAAGTATTTTATTAATGAAACCGATTTAGTAAATAAAAAATATATAGTGAACGATAAAACTGATAGTAAAATGAGATGTGTGTCTGAAATGCAAAATATTAAATATTTATTAGGAATCAGTTGTGTGTCTAATAAGCGATATTGAAAATCAGGTAATCATTCAACTTATTGGGTAAATGAATGAATGACTCGTTTTATTGCTTGAAAATAGAGTTTTTAGGATCTAATTTATATGTTATATCAGTGATTGTCTGCAAACACACTGCACTCCAAGTCTAGTGTAACTCCTATTCGCTCTATTAATTCATTTTGATTGCAATATAGAGAAACCATATGTTGTGTAATGAAAGCACGCGCTCTATTAAGTTGTATTCAATTCTCGCTTCTCTTCTCCCAATGTATTGAACGCCAAGTCTTATAATTGAAGGCATTTTTGTAATTATCGAAAACGCTATTCAATTACTAACAGTTATATTCATTAGATATTATAATTTTGTGCCTCAAATGTGTGATCAATTGTCTCTATTATTTGTCTCAATATAATTGTCATATTAATTGAATATATCCTCAATAATTGTCTGTTTCTCGACCTTATATTCTGGTTAGAAATGAACGCTTTTTTATCATTGATTTTTCCAATTCATTACTTATTTAATTTAGAGATCCTATTCTCTTATAAACCACTTTCTATTAATTCGCTATTATTTTGAATGCATTATAAATTAAGTCATTAATAGTTTAGTTGTTTTTTTTTGTTGAAACAAATGTTAATTATATCGAGAAATTACAGAATCGTTGTGTGTCTATAAGGGTGTGTGTCGTTCAGTGGAATATAACAGTGTATTATTGTTAATGCAATCCCAGAGCAGATCTGTTTCCAAATGCATGATCAAAATCAATTAGAGTGTAATTTTAATAATTAGTTTATTTATTTATTTATGATTTTTTGTTATTTATTTTGTTTTATGAATTTGTTTTGATTGATTGATGAATTGATGCACCGATAATGTACTCAATGCTCGCACCCATACTGTCCTACCGTCCCATAGAATGCAATGTTGCGAATGCAGAGTCCGCTCGCACAGAGACTTCTTCAGGCTAAGGTCTCCCAATCGACTCCCAGTCAAGTATGTCTCACAATCTTACCAATCACTTCATGAACGTACTAACCAATCAATTATCACTTCACTATTGCATCACTAACTCTCATGTATTCATCACTTATCACTTGATTTGCTCTTTTCACTAATTTGATCACTTTTCTCATCACTTATTCCCTTTACTTACCAATCATTTTGTTACTAAATATGATAATAATAATTGCTTTTCCGGCAGAACTACTCGACTTCACAACCCCTTTACTCGAACGCCTCACCCGCGCAACCATTGGGCGGAATGTCATCTCAAAAGGCCGGTCCGACCACTGGTGCCAATACGACTCAACCGGTAGTGCAGACGCAGACGGGCACGACATGGCATCCGAGTGCTGGCAATAATCAATTCGTTCAGAAACGACATCCAGATTTCATGAAACAGGAACAACACTTCCCACCCGTTAACAACACGTACGGCTCAGCACAACAACCGATGCCACCGACGGGTCAGTTCCCGCCGTTTTCAGGCAACACCCGTCAGACAGCGCCAAACCAGTCCTCAAGTCAGCCCCTCTGGAATCGTGATAATCAATATCGAGCTTACGGCCCACCCGTTCCACACATGACTCCCAATTCGACAGCCAATCCTCCGTTCGGCGGACCACCTATTTCTCAAGTCAGGGAAGGTTGGGATCACATGTCACGTGTGGACAATGGCCCCAATTGGTCGCATAATAGGTTCAATCCCTCACAAAGTGTTCCGCCGCACGAACTATATTCGGGTCCCACTCCTTATGGCGGCGGACATCAGATCAACAAAATGTCGAACTTTGGTCCGAGAAGTGATCCAAATCGTCAGTTCATATCAAATATGCCAACGCCTAACAAAGTTCCGCCTCATATGATGCCACCGCACCAGTCGATGCCATACTCTCATCCACAACCACACCATCCAATGTTCCATCAAATCAAAAAAGAGATTATCTTTCCTCCCGATTCGGTTGAGGCCACGACTCCCACAATGAGTAAACGGCGGCGACTGTGCGCTCGAGACCTGACTTCTGTCGAGGCCTGGAGACTGATTATGTGTCTCAAATCGGGTCTATTAGCGGAGAGCACGTGGGCTCTCGATATTCTCAGTGTTCTTCTACACGACGACTCAACTGTCCTCTACTTCGGTCTCCAACACATGCCCGGAATGTTAGAGGTTTTACTCGAACACTACAAACGATACTTAAGTGAAATATTTGACGGTCTCTTTGACGACACGGAAATCGGCTTCGAGTCAAACAAATGCAATAATCCCGTGGAAAGTGAATCCATTAGTTCCACCAAAAGGACTAAATTGTGGTACGAATTGAATACAGACTTAAGTGATAGTGAGAGCGACGGTGTGAAAGAAGACGACGACGAGAGGTGTACGACACCAACAAAGTGTGACATTCCATCAGATGAACAGTTAGTACTTCTCAATACCACAAACTTTACGTTCAAATCGCGAAACGGAAAGACAGTTAAGATTAAGAACGGAAAGTCACTGTTCATCGACGATCCCGACAAGAAGTGGGATCTCATGAAGAATGGGTTCACCGGCGGTGTCGACCACTGGACGGTTGGATTCGGAGAGCGAACGGATCACATCCAGACGTACTTTGAACCTGATGAGAATTTTTGTCGGTTTGTGAGAGTTATGAAGAAAAATAGAAAACGAAACAGAAATTCGAGTTTTAGTTGGAAAATGTCCGCCGAAGACAAGATTTCGCTCAATACAAGTGATGATTGTTTGGCCACAACTGATGTGAAAAATAATTTATTAAACGATTTAAAACCTTGCGTTGAGATCAAAAAAGAGTCAAACTTAGATCAAAACGACAATAATGTGGTCAACAATTGTTCGGACAAAGAGAGTGTAAAGTCAGACGACAGTCAGTTTCCAAGAGTTCGCGAATCAGATTTGGAGAGATTTAATAAAAGGAAAGACAGAGAAGAATACGAAGACGAGTCCTATGATATGGATGAGCCGGCGGTTCATATTGGGTACGACTATCAGGACTCACTGACCCGACGCTGTCTTTGTTTGTCAACACTGTTGAGGAATCTGTCTTTCGTTCCCGGAAATGATGAGAATATGTCGAAACATTCGGGACTATTGTTAGTGATGTCTCGACTCCTACTCCTCCATCACTCGCACACCTCTAAGAAGCGTAACTTTGAGCGCTCTATTGAGGAAGAATTATTTGCCAGCGAAGATCGGGAGAAGAATGAGAAGATAGTGGAGAAGGAGTGGTGGTGGGATGTGCTGCACACCATCCGCGAGAACACGTTAGTGACAATCGCCAACTTGAGTGGACAGTTAGATCTGTCGCCCTATTCGGAGCAAATCAGTTTGCCATTCCTGGACGGGCTCTTGCATTGGGCGGTGTGTCCGTCGTCCTACGCTCAGGACACTCTTCCCTTTGCCAACTATTATCTCTCACCACAACGTCTGGCGTTTGAGTCACTCTCAAAACTGTCAATCCTTGACTCGAATGTGGACCTAATGCTGGCCACTCCTCCCTGGAGTCGAATCGACAAACTCTATCACAATTTGGCGCGGAGTCTGAGCCGACACGAAGACCAAACAATACGAGAGTTTTCGGTTGTCTTATTATCGAACCTGTCGTCAGCAGATTCTTCATCCGCTCGAGCGATAGCACTGACCGGTTGTGCCATTCCTTTGTTAATATCGTTTGTAGAACAGGCGGAACAGTCGGCACTACAAGTGGCCAATTCTCAAGGCATTAACGCTTTAAGAGAAAATCCCGAACTCATGGGAACGACATTAGATATGGTTCGGCGCTCTGCGTCCACATTGAGGTGTATATCACGTGTTCCCGACAATCGACAACTGTTTGTTCAGTTCCAGCAAAGACTCTTAGCTCTGGTTATGTCACAAATATTAGATCAGGGGGTGGCCGGCATTATAGCCGATGTGATCTACGAGTGTTCTTTGGCTCGAGTGGCGTTCAGTTGTGAAACCAGTGATGAAACGGAACCGTTGGTCACTGAAAATGATAAGAACAGCAATAATAATGAGTGCAACGGAAATGACAGTAACGAGAGTTCTGGCGATGAGAACAACGGCTCGACTGGTAATCGATTGCCCGAAACGGACACAAATGGAGACGATTTGGACAATGAGACGAATAACAGCACGGATTCGAGTTCGACGGCCAATACATGAGACTGTCGTTAAACTGCACTCTAAATGACAATTAAATTAAGTTATTTTGTTGTGAAATAAAACTCAAACTCTAGTGATTGCGTGCATTAAAAAACTAATCATTATTTCTCTGGTGTGCCTCCGAAGCAACCAAAGCCTACCACACAATGAATTGTCGATACGATTCGCTTATAATTTTTCATAAATTCTTTGACATAACGACCAACTGATCAATTGGTGCACAAGACTTGTGAGAATCAAAATTATGTGCGACTTTTGTGCCACAAATATCATCACAAAAGCAAAACTAAACAAAATTTGTTTCAAAAAATCTTTTTCATTCAAAAATGTGAAGTGAAGTGAATTTTACATTAAAAGAAATTATTTGACAACAATTTTAAGCATAATTTTGGATAATTTGTTAGAAATTAATTGATTAACTGCTGATGAATTTGACGAATAAGTGATTATAATATTTATATAAATATATATATAATAAATACGAGACACAAAATACTGGTTCATTGGTTGTACAGAAATCTTTGTCTTTGAATCAGAATCAGCCGCCGATCGAGAAAAGGAGTTGTCATCCAATTTAAAAACAATAGCTTTGTTTCAATAGAAAAAATTCATTCATGAATTGCAAGACTACTTTCTTTTAGTAATTATTAAATTAACATAAAATATAAAATAAATTTTTTGATTCGACTGTGATTTTTCTGTTTCTCTATTCTCTATACATATAATTGTTTTCTTTATTTACTCTTCAAAATGAGACAAACAAACCATAAAATCACATCTTGTGTTGTATTTTGCATTGAATGCTTCAAAGAATTACTACAATTACAACAATTACATTATACAGTATATAAATTTATAAATATTTGGTCCTTTAATATACTTACCGGTAATGATCTTAATATTTATTGTACAGACAAATTGACAAATTATTAACAATTAATTAATTGCTTTTTCCAATCGTTTCAACTAAATATTTATAAATATTGTAATTTTGACAAAATCTAAGACTTATTTTTTAAAAGAAAAACGAAACAAAATTCACAAATCATTTATTGTCCCAACAATTATCAAAGACTCACAAATCGGGGGAGAAATTCAATGGCAATTAAATTAAATTTCATCATTAAATAGTTTTTTATTTATAAATGATTTTTAAACATGATTTTGGTTTTTGTTTTCTTTATTTAATTTCATTAATGTCTTAAATTTATTTATTTTTTAATTTAAATTTTTGCGAAAATTAAATTAAAGACGGATATGTGAATGAATTGTGTGTCTCTATGGAGTACTAAAATGTCTCGGTTTATAATTAGAACTCAAATGTGTGTTAAAATAGTCTGCCTTTTGATATCATATGCGATAAACATTTGAGAGCACGAGTTATGTGTAGTTAAGACTCGCTTTTGGATCGCAAAGTTTGGGATAAAGTCTGCTCTCATATCTCACATCAATTCCAGTGTTATATTTATATACATCTAAATTAGTTGATAAAATCGGCGTTTACTTTAAGCCTATTATATATATTTACTTTCAAATTAAAGTGAAATTCAATTCATTCAGAAATCGCCAACAATTTCATAAATAGAATTATTATTAAACTTATTTTTATTAAATACTAATTATCAGATTTATTTGAAATGTGTTTTAAACGTGAAAACGTTTCAAATAATTGAGAATATATTGGAGTAATAAATGGTTGAGTCGTTGAAAAGCATATTTTACTCGTTTAACGCAAACTTTTTGTCGACACAATTGAAGGACTGTTTGAAACCGCTTTCGACGAATCGAGTGATGGAAGACTCTGATTCAGAAGTGCCGACACTAATAACGGTTCCGTTCCTCTCCTGAGTTATCTCTCTTTCGATTTCACACTCAAGAGTCACCGATTGATAGATCCGGGCGTTTCTCACGTCGTGTCCAATTTTATCGCAATACGATTGACCCAAACTTACACTACTCTCGACACCCGCTTGCGGTTCAGTTAGATTATAGCCGTTTGTCTCGTTTGATATCTAACCAAACGATCACTTGTTTAACAACTAATTGACAGAATTTATTTTTGTTAAATAAATACCTTTTGATTACACGCTTCGGCACAGAGTATAAAGTCATCGGTATTGCATTGGTTGGAGACTGCGATCTCTTTAGTCGGGATCTCTATTTTCTGCAACTTTTTGCCACTATTTAGTTGTAAACGACACTCGCATTCGACTTCTGTCTTCACCTTCTCTTCGCCCAAACTTCAAGAAATTGAAAACGAAAATTAATTTTTAACATAAGATGTATTAATAAAACTTAATACCAGAATCCGAATAACAGTATAATAATGATTGTCTTCATAATGATTGTAGTATTGATAGACAAGTTGATTGTTAATTGAATGTAGGTTTAAAATGATTGTGTTTAACAATTAGTCGTGTAGTGAATGAACACTTGAATTAAATAGTTTGCATAAATAGTTAATCACTTTTATAAACCCAGAGACAAAATAAATTTATTTTTCATAATAAATGTTAGTTGCGTTAACGCAGACCACTATTTTTGAAAACATATTTTTGGCATAAAATTAATGACAATTTCATATATTTTTCGTACTATTTCTGTAGAAAATGCTTAAATATTATGAAACAGGTGTAGGAATAATGGCATGAGTTTTATGAATCATATATGAGTTGTAGAAAAGTGTTCAATAATATTGATGCAAAAACTTTAAAACAATGAAATAATCGATTATTTATTGATTTGATTACAACAAAAAAGCTTTTGACTCTGAAATTCATACAAATAATTAATGTCTGAATGTGTTTGTGATATATTTGAGAGCAATTGGAAACAGTTTTCTGATAATCATTGAAATACTCTGACATAAAAATAACTAAATATTGATTGTTTAATGAGTAATACAATTCATATTTTTTACAAAATATTTCTTTAAACACATGCAGTCTATTCTGTTGTTACAGAATATTCTCGACATAAGATTTATAGAAATCGGAAACAAATGTATTAATCATTGAAAAACAAATGCATATTTATTTGTTTGATTCAACAAAATTGCATTTATATCCCGTTTCTTTGAAAAGTGTCTGCAATTCAAATAATAACAACAATTAATATTTAAAACAACGAAAACAAATGTTGAATAGTTTTGAAAACAAGTCTAAAACTCATTTCACTGGACATCTGGTTTGTGAATACGAAGAAATAGTAAATTATTTTAGATTTATTATAATTTATTAGTTAGTATACAGTAAAATGACCATGATACTGCACACAGTAATTGTGTTTAACATTGTTTAATTATGAAAGTTTAATAAATAAATGATTTGCTAAAATAAAATTCAAAAATTGATGAAAAGTCTACAAAATAAATATGAAAAATGAGAAAAAGGGCGACATTTCTATCAATTAAACTGTTATTTATTCAACAAAACCATTGAGTTATAGACAAAAGAAACGATTTTATAGTCAACTCAACGATAGAAAGAAAAACAAATCAAATAAAAAATGCAGAAAAAGTGTCAAAACTTTTGTTCTTATAAAAAGTTTTAATAAATATTTGATAACTTTTTTTGAAACTAAAAATGCATTTAAATATTGAATGTTTAGCGAATGGATGGACGCATGCGTTGAATGCATTGAACGCAAGATTGAGTGTAAATAAAAACAATTAAATTGTGGTTTGAAATGAGTTTTTGGTTCAATTGTGTCACAAATGAGCGATAATTTAGACCCACTTTTGTTGGAAGCGATCTCGAAGTCACTCTTCGACGACAGCAAAGACAACACCGACGACAGCGATGGAGAGGACGGAGAGATTGTGGCCGAAGAGGGAGAGATCGAGAGCGGAGACGACCGCAAGAGTAAACACAAGAAGTCGAGACATAAGTCGAAACATAAGTCCAAATGTAAAGTCAAGTCAAAGACACATAAGTCGAAGAAGTCGTCGAAGAGTAGCGAATCTGCGGTCAAATCGGACGCAAGCGTTGATCGTAAGGACACTGAGAGTGAGAGTAAAGTAATGAAACTCTTATTATCGGAACAATTGACGAGTTATGCGGGCATTGAATTCAAAGACCAACAAAACGACGGCTCGTCTGAACAGAAGAAGAAGTCATCGAAACATAAGTCCAGTAAAAGCGGTGACGAAAGCAAACGCCGACACAAGAAGTCGTCGAAGCGTTCGTCCGATTATGAGTTGCAAAACGATTCGTATTATCCGATAAAGTCTTCGGCAGAACAGGAGGACTACTTCTATGGTTCTTATTATGAGGGAACGGAGAGCCGTCCCAGACATCGGAGTCGAGACTATTCGCGACCATTGAGTCCATTGTATGAAACGGATTGGAAGTATCGGTCGAGGAGTCGATCGCCAATTGAGTACAACAAGAGATCTCGAAGAAGATCGCTGTCACCCAACGAGGACTCCAGGCATAGGAGAGACGACCGAAGAAGTGTTACACCATTTTATAAGGATAGCTATAAGTATAAGAATAAGCAAAACAGTCGCCGCTCTCTGTCTCCAAGCGATCGCAATCGTCGGGACAGACGCTCAATGAGTAGACAATCGATGGAACCGATAGACAAAGAAAGACTCTATGAAATCGCGAGAAATAATTTGATAAAAATGATAGAAAAGGGAGATTTGCCGAAAGGGACGGACGTTAATAAACTCAATCTAAGACATCTGCGGGAACTGACGACTCAGAAGTCTGTCCAACAGTGGACAGAGTTTTGTCGCGCCATTTCCACACTCGAATCGGTCGTCGGTTCCGACTCTGATATCGACTCTGACAGCGATTGCGAGTCCGTCGCGACCACAGCTGACGGCAATATCTTCACAATCAGACATCCATTCAAACTCAAGGAAAGAAAAGATATTCAATTTTCTGTCAGAAATTTCCATCAATTGCCGAGTCGTTCGGCCAAAGAGTTGTCCATTGAATTAAGAGAACAGTTTCCCGTTTCGAGCGGTAATAAACATCGACTTAAGGAACTCGAGTGGAAAGAAGTTCCGGAGTCAATGCCTCCGCCGCCTCCGCCCCCACCCCTCAAAGCTAAGAAACCGGAACCAAAAGCCAGTGTTTCGTCGACTCCACAACCCGTTCCTCCGCCCGATTATTCCGATGACCTCCAGAAAGCCTTCACTTTCATTCCCCCGACGACTACACCTCTCAACACAACAACCGATACAACCGTTTCCGCGTCACCAGCCGTTCAATCGGCGGCCGATTCGACCACTAATGAAAGCGAAGCTAAAGTGGATTCAGTATTCTCTCAGTCTTTGATGCCGATAGACATCGGATCAGTTATGGCTCAAAGACTGAATGCGATGCGCAAACTGTCGGATGACCCGCACAACGTGGTGGCCCTAAAGCAGATGTACCAGGCTAATCAAATGGTTATACCTTGTTTATGATAATTATCAATTTGGTATTAATTGTGTTGATCTGACAGATGACGGAATGGGCGGAATCCAAGATGGTCCCGGGACAGTTCATCGGCAGTACTGGCGCTAATATATTGACTCCCGAACAGCTCAACGGTTCATACAATGCGTGGACTCGGAAGGTATGCATTCAGACAATGTTTAATGCATTCGGTATATAATGAATACGTGTTTGGATTCTTAGGATCAGCTGAAGACGGCTGCGCCCATCACTGGAGGCGTTGGAATGCATTTGCTTCTGAAGATGGGATGGAGTCCGGGTCAGGGATTGGGTAAGAACAACGAGGGCACTCTCAACCCAATCGCTTTAGACATCAAAATGGATAAAAAGGGTTTAGTGGCTGAAGAGGAACAGGTGCGCAATCTTCCGACTCAGTTGATGTCGGGCGCCAACAAGAACTCGAAGGACGCCCGGATCGCAGCCAATGGGGGCCGAAACCCGGTCTCTATTCTGTATGAGATGTGCTCCAAACGCAAGATGGGTGGACCCGTCTATCAACAGGTGTCTGAAGAGGGACCGCCGCATAAGAAGACCTTCACGTTTAAGGTATTCGTATACTATTTAAACAAACAATTACTTTATTAACTCTTAATCCAAATGATAGGTTGTTATGGGAGGCGTTGAATACCAGCCCTCCGTTTCGAGCGCTAATAAAAAGTTGGCGAAAGCGTTGGCCGCAAGTGTTTGTCTCCAGTCTTTGGGTCTTTTGCCTAAAGATAAAACATGAGAATAAATTTGTTATATATTTGTATATATTTTAATCATTATTACAATTACATAAAACGATCATTTTTTTGACCACTGATTCACAACTTTTTGAATTGACTGCAATGTCTCATCAATGATCACAGAGTGGTTATCAACTCAAATATGTTTGCATTCGTTATGACTTGATATGTCTGGTCATCACTTCCTCCACCGAATCTTTGGCGTCTCTTTTAATTTGGGTTTCTTTGGCTCTGAAATGGATTCTGTTTTGTGACTTTCATCACAAGAGCTGCTCTTAATTTGACTATATTTTCGTTTTGATGTCTCGTTTTTGTTGTCATGAACTACAATAGATTTGGATTCATTAGAGACAACTGCGTCCGTTTGGTTAACAATTGATTCGCTTCCAGTGCTTCCACTTGTATTCAATGGTGTCTTTGATTGTCTATAAAAGTATTGAATAAAAAGAATATCCAATCAGTGGTTGAATAATGGATTAATGGCTAAAACACGACAATAGGAGTAAAACTCACTCCTTGTTGAGCACATAAGACACATATCTTCTTCTCTGTTCCAACTTATCTCTGGTCTCATCGATGGACTCGAGCTCTGGTGCGTAACACACGTGAAGAATGGATCCCAAAAAGTTTCGGTCGTCCAAAGACTTCTTGGCTCTGACAGCGTTGGCGAAGAACTTATATTTAATGAGATATACTTTCGTGAATGGCTCGCAATGCGGATAATCGGCGAGAAATAGGCCATCAATTGGACCAAATGGTTGACATAATCTGAAGAGTTCTTGTTTCACATCACTCTTGATGTCCGGAACTCCTTGTATGAGAAGATATTTGGATTCATCGCTGATTGTGAACACTTTGACTGCTGTCGGTCTCCTTCCCGACCGATAATGACTGCGAGTCTCGCATATGGTTTGTCTGAAGTGGTGGTCAAACGCTTCCACTTTCACCACTTCTTCGGCTTCACTCGACTTCAAACTCATTTCAATCGACACTTCATTTGAATTGTTTGACAAACAAAACAAACCAATGGTTTGAATGAATGAATGAAACCAATAGATGTCATTATTTGTGCCATACATTCAATGCATTGCTATTGTATTTATTTACAGAATATTCTCTCATTTATTATTCATTTTTCAATTACCGGTAAATTTATTCATTAAATGCATATATTTTTAATGTAAAACTAAATTATTTATCCATAATTATAACAATAAATGTCAAAATATACTTCATTACAAGCTTTGAAAAGTTTTCGTAATACTAATTAATAAAACGATAAGTTAATCATTAAATACAAGTTTTTTTATTAAAGCAATGCTTTTATCAAAATAGTAAAGAAAATTAATGAAAATGTGATGAAAATATCAAAATATCTAAATAGCTTTAATGCAAGAGATTTCGCCGCAATCGCAGAAAACTTTGCTGTCTTTCATCAAAAACCTTTTCATTGACTTTGATTTGCGGTGTCTTCTCATGTGTGCGTTCAGAGCGACCGCAGTCTTGGCCTTAAACACACACTTCGGGTCCCGACAGACAAAAATGCCGAAGTGTTCGGAGTTGTGGTAAATGAGTTCTGTTTGTCTCGACGCCAAGAAATTGCAATTATTGTGAACGCATTTCAAATGCAATTTGCGTTTCTTTGGCTCTGAAATGGATTCTGTTTTATGACTTTCATCACAAGAGCTGATCTTAATTTCACTGTATTTTCGTTTTGATGTCTCATTATTCTTGTCATAAACTGGAATAGATTTGGATTCATTAGAGACAACTGCGTCCGTTTGGTTAACAATTGGTACGCTTCCAGTGCTTCCACTTGTATTCAATGGAGTCTTTGATGGAGATGGAGGTAGGGATGGAGATGGAGGTGGAGGTAGGGATGGAGATGGAGGTGGAGGTAGAGCTGGAGGTGGAGGTGGGGAATGAAACTCTAATTTCAAAGTGTTTTCATTGGTATGTTTTAATGAATTTGTGCGCCTCTTCTCTAGCCGTTGCCTCGACTNAATGGATCCCAAAAAGTTTCGGTCGTCCAAAGACTTCTTGGCTCTGACAGCGTTGGCGAAGAACTTATATTTAATGAGATATACTTTCGTGAATGGCTCGCAATGCGGATAATCGGCGAGAAATAGGCCATCAATTGGACCAAATGGTTGACATAATCTGAAGAGTTCTTGTTTCACATCACTCTTGATGTCCGGAACTCCTTGTATGAGAAGATATTTGGATTCATCGCTGATTGTGAACACTTTGACTGCTGTCGGTCTCCTTCCCGACCGATAATGACTGCGAGTCTCGCATATGGTTTGTCTGAAGTGGTGGTCAAACGCTTCCACTTTCACCACTTCTTCGGCTTCACTCGACTTCAAACTCATTTCAATCGACACTTCATTTGAATTGTTTGACAAACAAAACAAACCAATGGTTTGAATGAATGAATGAAACCAATAGATGTCATTATTTGTGCCATACATTCAATGCATTGCTATTGTATTTATTTACAGAATATTCTCTCATTTATTATTCATTTTTCAATTACCGGTAAATTTATTCATTAAATGCATATATTTTTAATGTAAAACTAAATTATTTATCCATAATTATAACAATAAATGTCAAAATATACTTCATTACAAGCTTTGAAAAGTTTTCGTAATACTAATTAATAAAACGATAAGTTAATCATTAAATACAAGTTTTTTTATTAAAGCAATGCTTTTATCAAAATAGTAAAGAAAATTAATGAAAATGTGATGAAAATATCAAAATATCTAAATAGCTTTAATGCAAGAGATTTCGCCGCAATCGCAGAAAACTTTGCTGTCTTTCATCAAAAACCTTTTCATTGACTTTGATTTGCGGTGTCTTCTCATGTGTGCGTTCAGAGCGACCGCAGTCTTGGCCTTAAACACACACTTCGGGTCCCGACAGACAAAAATGCCGAAGTGTTCGGAGTTGTGGTAAATGAGTTCTGTTTGTCTCGACGCCAAGAAATTGCAATTATTGTGAACGCATTTCAAATGCAATTTGCGTTTCTTTGGCTCTGAAATGGATTCTGTTTTGTGACTTTCATCACAAGAGCTGCTCTTAATTTGACTATATTTTCGTTTTGATGTCTCGTTTTTGTTGTCATGAACTACAATAGATTTGGATTCATTAGAGACAACTGCGTCCGTTTGGTTAACAATTGATTCGCTTCCAGTGCTTCCACTTGTATTCAATGGTGTCTTTGATTGTCTATAAAAGTATTGAATAAAAAGAATATCCAATCAGTGGTTGAATAATGGATTAATGGCTAAAACACGACAATAGGAGTAAAACTCACTCCTTGTTGAGCACATAAGACACATATCTTCTTCTCTGTTCCAACTTATCTCTGGTCTCATCGATGGACTCGAGCTCTGGTGCGTAACACACGTGAAGAATGGATCCCAAAAAGTTTCGGTCGTCCAAAGACTTCTTGGCTCTGACAGCGTTGGCGAAGAACTTATATTTAATGAGATATACTTTCGTGAATGGCTCGCAATGCGGATAATCGGCGAGAAATAGGCCATCAATTGGACCAAATGGTTGACATAATCTGAAGAGTTCTTGTTTCACATCACTCTTGATGTCCGGAACTCCTTGTATGAGAAGATATTTGGATTCATCGCTGATTGTGAACACTTTGACTGCTGTCGGTCTCCTTCCCGACCGATAATGACTGCGAGTCTCGCATATGGTTTGTCTGAAGTGGTGGTCAAACGCTTCCACTTTCACCACTTCTTCGGCTTCACTCGACTTCAAACTCATTTCAATCGACACTTCATTTGAATTGTTTGACAAACAAAACAAACCAATGGTTTGAATGAATGAATGAAACCAATAGATGTCATTATTTGTGCCATACATTCAATGCATTGCTATTGTATTTATTTACAGAATATTCTCTCATTTATTATTCATTTTTCAATTACCGGTAAATTTATTCATTAAATGCATATATTTTTAATGTAAAACTAAATTATTTATCCATAATTATAACAATAAATGTCAAAATATACTTCATTACAAGCTTTGAAAAGTTTTCGTAATACTAATTAATAAAACGATAAGTTAATCATTAAATACAAGTTTTTTTATTAAAGCAATGCTTTTATCAAAATAGTAAAGAAAATTAATGAAAATGTGATGAAAATATCAAAATATCTAAATAGCTTTAATGCAAGAGATTTCGCCGCAATCGCAGAAAACTTTGCTGTCTTTCATCAAAAACCTTTTCATTGACTTTGATTTGCGGTGTCTTCTCATGTGTGCGTTCAGAGCGACCGCAGTCTTGGCCTTAAACACACACTTCGGGTCCCGACAGACAAAAATGCCGAAGTGTTCGGAGTTGTGGTAAATGAGTTCTGTTTGTCTCGACGCCAAGAAATTGCAATTATTGTGAACGCATTTCAAATGCAATTTGCGTTTCTTTGGCTCTGAAATGGATTCTCTTTTATGACTTTCATCACAAGAGCTGATCTTAATTTCACTGTATTTTCGTTTTGATGTCTCATTATTCTTGTCATAAACTGGAATAGATTTGGATTCATTAGAGACAACTGCGTCCGTTTGGTTAACAATTGGTACGCTTCCAGTGCTTCCACTTGTATTCAATGGAGTCTTTGATGGAGATGGAGGTAGGGATGGAGATGGAGGTGGAGGTAGGGATGGAGATGGAGGTGGAGGTAGAGGTGGAGGTGGAGGTGGGGAATGAAACTCTAATTTCAAAGTGTTTTCATTGGTATGTTTTAATGAATTTGTGCGCCTCTTCTCTAGCCGTTGCCTCGACTCCAAGATTGTGTCCACTTTCTTGTCGAGTGATTTGTGGACGAAGTGTGCGGACACTACTATATCTCCCACCTCTTCGATGATTTCGATGTCATCGGATGAGTCCGAATCCAACACCACTTCCACATCGTCTGCATCGCTGTCCAGTATAATGAACTCATCCCTGGTTTGGGTGCAGAGCAAGCATTCAATGATGACATGAGTTAACAAGTGATACATTCATACCCTTTAAGTGCCATCAGAAGAGTTGTTGTCTTCGACACAATAACCAGAGTCTGATTACAAGAAGTCAAATGATTTGAAAAATAGTTTCACCAAAACATTGCTTTCAAAACACGACAAACAAAACGTAACAAAAAGTTGACGTCATTTATAGAAAGCAATAGATTTTGGATCCAAATATCGGTTACTATTGTATTGAATGACAGTCTTATCGGTGTATTGAGTGCTGTATTGAATGTTGTGTTGAAATAGTGTTGAAATGTGATTGAATTGAATGCCATTTGATTTGTTTATACGACTGAAGTGTTGAACACTTTTATCGCCATTTATTGCGAATTTAATGATTCATTAATTAATTATTTTTTTATATTTAAATATTATTTTTTAACAAACGATACGAAAAATTACAACAAATTTAATATAAATTAGTATTTATTGTATAATTAGTTGAGAGAAAGGATAGGATTTGTTGTGAATATAATTATAATAAATAATTATATTTTTGATGAAATAATTGACAAAAACGAGGGAAAGAGTCGGCGAAAGAAGTGATGGCTTTTTGAACACAAAATGCAAACAAATTGTGATTTATTTTGGAAATGGATGTGAATTTAGGGGAACTGGAGGTGAGGTTCGACGCGAATGGCTCTCATCTGGTGCTGGAAGTGCTCAACTACTTGTCCAATACATCACCAAAGATACCATCGATTGGTCAGCTCCGGGACGGCGAGTGTCTAATCAAAGTCATCTCATTGTTTGAACGCCAGACCCGATGGCAGTCGAGTCGAGTGATTGATCTGTTCTTCAAATACAAGAACGATGTCATCACTGGATATGAATTCATCGACGGATGGCTCGACTGTTACTACTCTTCGGGTTTTGTGATAGTGACCGACGGCTTCCGCTTCGCCACCGATCACGAGGTGATGACAATCGCTGTTCTCGTACTCAACGTTCTGTACATTAAGAGAGATTCACTCACTTATGATCTCAAGATACGTTTGGAAGCGCTTTGGATTGACTTCAGTTCGACAATCGACTCAATTGTCTTATGGATGCGAACCAGAGCTCAACTCAACGATTGCAATACTGGTCTCCATTCGTGCGCACATCAGCTCTTCTCTCACCACTCTCTACAAGAATATCAATCCATTCAACAAAGACTCACTCAATTGGTTAGTATTGTCTCGTTATCACTCTTTTCGTGTCAACTCATGACAACCAATGACTAACTCTTTGATTGTATTGAAGGCTCAGCAGAAGCTCATCAACGATCAGATGAAGAGATTGGAAGAAAAGGACGCTTTGATGAGAAAACAGGCGAAAGAGTTGTCAGATTTGGGAACAAAAATGTTTGCATTGATCGGAGAATTGAATGAAACGAAGAGTACTTCGGCTATTCTGGCCACAGAAGTGAAGTGGCAAATGAGTGCCAACAAAGAACTCAATCAAACTGTCGCTAAACTTCAACACGAGAATCAAGTGCTCAAACAATTGGCGCTAAAGAATCACTCGTTTCTCTTCATGGACTCCAAGTCAAAGAGTGCCGCAAACGGCGCCCACATATCAACCGATGCCTCCATAGACGCCAAACCAGAACTCGATGCTAACGAACCAATCAGCGGATCAAATGTGGACAACAGTTGTAATGAAATTAATTTGACGACATTATCACTGAATGACAGCCCGAAAGGGACCAGCGATCGCAACGAAGACACCGACTCGTCCACTGAGATCGAAGACATCACAGACAGTGGCAATCATTCAGACGCCGCCACCGATGATCTGCTTCTGGAGTTGTGTCAAACGATTTCGCCGAAAGGGGATAGCAATGCAATGAACACTAATGAGAAGATTGACTGCACAGACACTACTCTGCCATCCAATTCATGGGAACAGTACTTCGCCAATGAAAGCAATAATACGAATGACTTGAATGTTTTGAGCGACATATCGGACACAAGTGTCCAAAACAGCGATACTTACAATAAATCTAATCATAGTTTGGGTACAAATGATAACACGATTTCCGCATTAACTCTAAACTGAAAACAAACCGCAAAAACCATTTTCTAAACAAAAATTTATTTCTCTCTCTATTCTTAATATTCACAGTATTTTTTGATTCAAAAAAGTCAACAAATTTTTAGAATTTTTATTCGAAATACAAATATTGTCTCCTTTTTGCCACACTTTTCCATATTTTCTTAATTTTCATAACTTTTTTCTCCAAACAATAACTGCTTTTATTTGGAAAAACAAATACAAAAATCAAAACATGAAACAAACATAAAAAGTGCACTTATATTACAATTATATCTTATACTGAATTTATTATCTCTTATTTGAAAGTTTTTAAATTATAAGTTCCTATAAATCTATTATTTACACATTTATTACTGATTTATAAAACGATTGGTATTTTAAGACACTTTATAAATACATTGAAATCAATTCGATTGTGATTATGTGTGAAGACATCATGTCTATCAAAGCCATTGTCAAAACTGAATACATTATTATCACTTAGTTTTTGTTTATTATATGATTATTATTATTATTTTGAGTCAAATATTTAAATCACAAAATAAAGTAATTTTTCAAAATATATGCCAATTCTGTGTTTAATTGTTTATTCATTACCTTATATTTGGACTAATTATAACAAATAACAAAAGTGTGTGTAAAGTACTCCTATACAGTAGTCCTATCGTTAGTTGTGCTGCATATTGAGTACAGTATGAGTAGTACTGATTGAGTACTTTTTACAATTAAAAAGTTTAAGTCGGAATCTGTAAATTTTCACCAAATTATTCATTTCGTCAATGGATTTGATTTAAACCAATTGTCGTTAAAGCCATTGATAAATACGGACACATAGACTGTCTAATAGTCTAATAGTAATAGTAATCTTATTGTGATTTTGAAAGATTCCATAAAACTATAATATTGTACAAATTTTTAGTGCATAAGAATATGAACTTAATTAATAAAACAAATTTCATAATTTTACTTACATGGCAGTCAAGTAGCCTAATACATTAAAATATTGTATTAAAATACATTAAATGTAATTATAGTCAGAATTACAGTGTAATAAATGACAGAATATTGTATTCATAGCAAATATTTCATATCTACAGTACATTCAATGCGATTCCTTAATGCAAGCAATGAGTGAAAGCAAAAGAAGTATTAAAATAGAGAACATGTGTTGCTTTGCATTGAAATGAATGGTTTTGATGAGACGACTCCACACTTTTAGACAACAAATTCATCACATATTGTGTCAGCACATCCTATGTCTCACTTAAAAAGTTTATGAACACATTTCAATTCATGAACATTTCTCTATGTTTATCAAACCATTTCAATCCTATAATAAGTAGAGTTTGATCACAATTTGGTAAATAGTCATTGAAATTCAACAACACATTTGATTATCATTAGAACATAAAATGCAAATTCCTTCATAAAAAATTAAATATTTTTATACATGGAATTTATACCAATCGGCAAATGAATAATAAAATATTCTACTTTCATTGTTTCATTATAATTGTCGTAATAATAAATTGCTTTAAAACCAAATATAGAATTTCAATAAAACTACAGAATTAACACAATTTCACAAAATTCTCAGAAAATGTTTTAAATTTAAAATTGTCGCTATTTTTTGGGTGAAATTTTCATTGAAGCAATGTTTTGCAATAAATGCAAAAATACGACAAAAAATATTCAAAATTTGCATAAAATTGTCGCTAATTTTTCTGTAGGAATACAAAGAGTTTTAGTTATAATGTATTTTCACTCAATTAAGTCTTTGTTGATATTTTGGTCTCATTGGCATCGAATCGCACCACAAAACCACAGTTTCTATCGTTTATTCGGTTCCGCTTTTGTCGGCGCTTTAAATGTCAGAATCGGAGTTAAGATTAAGAATAAACTCTATTTTGATATCAGATTTCATTCGCATATTTGACAGCAAAGCATAACTCGCTTTTGCATTGCTTTCAACAAAACAACGACTTTCTAAGCCATTCATTCATTTAATTTTCATATCATTTCAATTACGGGTTTAATTGTGTATTAATTCTATAGACATAATCATATAATCAATATGATTAACCGTTAAATCCTAATTGAATGAATAGTTGGCAATTGATTTAATCAGTTGTTTTCCGCTGTTTTAAGTGTCAAATGTTGTCAAAACTAGCAAAAAGTTTAAAAAAACATTTTTGATAAATTTTTAGACAAACTTTACGGACAATTAACCCGCAAATAGTGTTTGAGTGAAGGCTTTGTTTTATGCAAAACCAACGTTAAGTCCTAAATCTTTTGACTTAAGTTATCATTTGTTACTCTTCTTCACTCCAAATGAAACCCAATCTCTGAATAGTTGTCGTTGAGATCGCGATTCACTTCTGTGCTATAATTACCCCCCATTTCCAGGTGGACACAACTGTGCACTCATCCTATAAATACAGTGACGGAACCATCTCTTCATCTCATATGATAAGGGCTCAGACACTACACAAAGATTATGACTAAGACATAGACTATAAACTAATTGCGGGGAAGAGTCAGACTTTTATTCCAACACTTCATTCATAGAATTTAAGTTTTTGTGTGAAGACGTTTTCCTTACACTTTATGACAAGTTTTTAAACATTGGTTTTACAGTAAATTTAAGTGAAGTTTAACTTCGAGTTGTGTTTTGTATTAATGGAAAGGAATAATAGACGAGTTTTACGAACACCAAAATGTGCCAAATGTCGAAACCATGGAATTATCTCATGTCTTAAGGGTTAGTATATATAGAAAAATATGTGCAGAAAAAGTCAAATTATAATAAAATTGTTGGAATCGGTGTTACGTTAAGGCCATAAGAAATTTTGCCGTTGGAAAGACTGTCAGTGCAATAACTGTACTCTCGTAGTCGAGAGACAGAAAGTGATGGCAACACAAGTGGCGCTAAGGAGGCAACAAATATCAGTGAATGGGAGTAACGGTGCCCTCAGGACTGCCACCGAAGCAATGCTTTTGGAACAGAAGCGCAATTATCAGACACATCTTCGAGAGGTTCAGAAAGCCGTTAGGAATCAAATCATTTACGAGAAACAGCACTCGAGTCTTCTCATGCAAAACCCATACATCGCTAAGATCTTAAGGCGCCGCAAGAATCTCGGCATTGATTCCATACCTGACTCTCAATACTGGCAAATGATGTCCAATCGATCAGCTCTTGTGCCCATAGCTGGCACTCATTCACATCACTCGTCGCCTATCATAGCCTCAAACCCATCACCTCTTCTAACATCCCATCCGATGCCGTATATGAACTTAAATTCATACAATTATCTCAATTTTTCAATCATTAATCACAATATAAATCACAATATTGTGACAAAAGACACACTTTCGCCACAATTCTGTGCTTCGGATCGAAAGGAAACTCAAGTAAAAAGTTTCTCGTCTTTTACAGTCGACTCAATACTCGGCAATACATGTAAATAATATGAGATTTAAAACTTATATAATCTTATCATAAGTAGAGTCAAAATACATAAATATTTTGAAATAAAACAAATGGTGTTTAATAAACATTTGAACGACTCATTTAAACTCTCAAATATCAGAAAATTATATTTAGATTTATTTAATTGCATTTCATTTTCTGTAAACGTATACCACTTTCTGTTTTAACAAAAACCCATTAAAAATTCATTAATGTTTAATGCAATTGAAGTCTAAATTAATATTTATTATCAAATGAAATAAATACAGAAATATTAATATTAGAGGAAGTATTGCATATATTTTTATAGAAATAGATAAATGTATTTCATTTTAAGGGCAATTAAATTAAATGACTAAATATTATATATATATATATTGTATCAGAAGAGTAAAAAATAGTGGTCTATATATGGAATGTCTTCTCAAGACATTTCGCTAACAAAATGGGAATTAAATTAATAGACATTTTTGTTTAAACAAACATATATTGGATATTAGAATAGTAGAGAAATTGGATTTAATCTAATATTATAATAATAACCAAATTATTAAATACGAGAGAGAGAGAGAGAGAGAGAGAGAGAGAGAGAGAGCGGTGCAACTAATGAGTAAATACATTATACAGTAATGAGAAGGTGTCTAATGTAGTCAATGGCCTAAAGAGTGTGTCATAATCGATGGTCTCATCGATTGGGTAGTAATGATGGGGTAACTGACGAGTGGCGCAGAATTGCTTAGACTAACGCTTGTGGGCAAAGACATCGACGCGATGGAGGACACGGGCAGACCAGTCATGGTCTGGGCCTGAATGCTGCCGAGAGAGACGGGAACGACAACGCCTACGCTTAGTTCAGTCCTTCCGAGTTCAGTGAAATCATTGGACATCTGCGGGAGAGGGGGCGGCGCGAGTGATGAGACAGTAGTGGACTGTGTCTGTGCCTGATTTGCTTTGCCGATTGTGCGGAGCTGTGCGTTTTGCTCTAATAGAAACTCATTGGTCGCCATCAGGTCTGCCACCTGTTTCTTAAGCTCATCGATACGGCGTCGCAGCGCTGCGTTCTCTTCCTCCAGATATCGAGCGGAAGAGTAGATGGTATTCGGGGCCAGACCTGCGCCGGCGTTTGTATGCATCGCTCCCGACGGCCCGAAGTCGGGTTTGTAGTCAAAGTCAGACATATTCGCGGCGCTGTTAAGACCGGTTAGGTTTAGACCGCCGGCGCGATCGGCGGTAAAAGTAGCAAAACTGTTGGTATTGAAAGCAGCGCTCGTGTCATACGCTCTCCTCTTAGGCTCGGGAGGAGAAAAGGTATCATTAAATGCGTTAGAATTGAATGAGTTATGCATTTGATTGCGAACGGAGTGGCCGTCGAATCGGGACGAGTGGTGTCCCGACGAGTGATTGTTTCGCGACGTTTCCATATCGTAGTCAGACTGAGACACGTGACGGAACTTACATCTGCCGGGCCCTCGACGGCACTCTCCCTTCAGATTGTCTTTACAAATGGGAACGTTGGCCATACTCTGGGCCACCTCTGAGGCCTTGTTCTGAGCCATTTTGTCCAACACGTGTTGCGGCAGTTTTCCCGTCGATCGGTACACCTCTTCCTCCTGTTTAGTGCAGTGAAGGAAACGGCAGTTCTGTCGCCGACACTCCCGGTTCTGGTAGTCGTGACAGAAGATGTACTCAATCTTTTTGCCCAACTCTTCGGCCTCAGACGGGTCCGGATGGCGGAACCGACACGCGTTCCCTCTGCGGCACACATTCCTCAAGAAGTCGCGACACACGTCTCCGATTCCGTCGCCATTACTGTCCACATCGTTGTCCGCATTGAGTGAGTCTTCGCTTTGGTTTAGCGGCAATTCAGACATCATTGCAATCACTTATGTCTGACTTTGTCTCACACTTAATGGCAAAGGAGTTCGCGGTTTCGCGCAAAAGAGAGGACAGGTTTTGGCGACAATTGTTTGACAACAATATAAGTAATTGTCATTCAATTCAATGTCGGGTTATTTTCGGTCACAAAGAAGTTATGAACGCATTGTTCGCTCGGAAATAGGATTTCATGTCAATTATCGCATATTTATTATCGCTTTTTCGCACAATTTCTCGCTATTAAGCGCTTTAAATACCTATAAAATTAATTATCAAATTAATCACTCATTTATCGCAAAAAACACTTTATATTATCATTTCATTTAAAAATACTTTATAATAATATTAAATAATGACAACAATTAAGTAATGCATTGACTTTTGTGTCACTTTTTGCATAACTCTATAGGCGTTGTGTTTGAGCCATAAAGTGGTGACAAATGCAACAGACATTTGCCATCACTTGCCTATCACAACATCACCGGACAACAGGTCCCATACAATCGCATACCTAATCAACTAATCGGTGGCTAAAACAGTGTCTAATGAATGGCTTATAATTGGCGGACAAAGAGGTGTAACAAAGAGAGAGAGAAAGAGAGACAACAAAATAAAGAGCAAAACAAATCAATACTTAAATGAGTGTCGAGTTTAAGAGCAAATGAATGACAACGAGAGGACACAGATTGGCATTCAATTCAATACAAACGACTGAATGAACAGTAAATGCAAAGCAAAACGACAATTGAGTGAACAATTTGTGACACTTTTAATTCATTTGTGGCATAAATATAGACAACAAATAATGCATTCAATCATTCATTCACTCAATGGTTGCCAAACAATGACTTCACGTCAGAGACATCTTTCGTCCATTACTTATACTATAAGTTATCGTTTATTCATTCAATTGTTGCAAAACTTTTTTTGCTTCAATTAATATACAGTTACTGTAGAAATATTTATTGAGTAATAAAAATGTTTATGATTACAGTATTACTATTAATACACTATAATATTATTACTTATCTTTTACTTATCAAAAGTAATCATTGGATTATTTGGATTATAAGTATTTGATAGGATTATTGACACAAATGTTATATATTTGACGCAATTTGAAATTAAATACAAAAATGTGGATTAATGTATGCATTTATGTATACGTTATGAGAGTTAATGTCACGAATTAATAAATGTTTTGTCGTATAATAAGATTAATTTATATGGTTTTCAATTATTTATGCATTATATGAACCCAACGGTTGTTTTCTATCGTTTCGTTGGTTTTCTTTCTGTTTGTCACAAATCTCCTCATTCTCTTCGGTCTCGTCTTCGCTCTCTTCGCCATTGAATCTAATTTAAAGTTAAATTGAAATTAATATAAAATAAAACTAAAGATAAATATGAATTGAAAATACCTTTTCTTTAATGAAATGATGAATTGTTTCAAATCTAATCCATCGATAGAGTCGTCGAGAATGTTATCGATGTCTCCGCAGATTCTCTTCATATCTTTCCTGATTTTCTTGTGCTGAACCCTATAATACCTCCACTGACTGACCAGAGAATCGCTCTTCAATTTCTCATTCTTGAGCTCTGAATGCGTTTCTCGACATCTGTCCAAATATACGGTCAACTCTTCGTTCAATTTCTGATTTTCTGTTTGAATGTCTTTGAGTTTGGTTTCGAGAGACTCTTTGTCCGACTCAACAGTTGTTAGCTTTTTCTCCCAAATCTTCGCCTGATTTAAAATTAACTCAAAATTTCTGCCTTTCAATCGCTTTTGTTCTTCGAATTCTAGAATTCGTTTCTCCAACTCTTGAGATCTGTTCGCCTGTTGTGTCAGAAACTCCAACTCCTTCTTCAGATTCAAATTAATGGTTTCACAAGAAGATAATTTATCGCAGAGTTCTTCGTATTTGTGTTTCGTTGCATTCAATTCAGTTTCCAACGGTTCCATCGCTTGATTCAACTCATTTTCTTTCTCTTTAACCGTTTGTTTCAATGTCTCGATTTCCAACTCCAAGTCTTTGCACTCAAGTTTGGCCTCCAATTCAATGATCTTCTCTTCATAATTAAACTTTTGGTCTTCAAATGTCTCCCTATAGGCGACCATTTTATTCTCCAATTCTTGGCATCTGTTCGCCTGTTGTGTCAAAAACTCCAACTCCTTCTTCTGATTCATGTTAATGGTCTCAACAGAAGACAATTTACTCAAGAGTTGTTCGCATTTATGTTTCGTTTCATTCAATTCACTTTCCAACGGTTCCATCACTTCCTTTAACTCTTGTTCTTTCCCTATAACCGATTGTTTCAATGTCTCGATTTCCAACTCTTTGGAATCAAGTTTTGTCTCCAATTCAATGATCTTCGTTTCATAACTTGACTTTTGGTTTTCAAATGTCTGCTTATAAGCAAACATTTCTTTCTCCAACTCTTGAGATCTGTTCGCCTGTTGTGTCAAAAACTCCAACTCCTTCTTCAGATTCATGTTAATGGTCTCAAAAGAAGATAATTTATCGAAGAGTTGTTCGCATTTGTGTTTCGAGTCATTCAATTCACTTTCCAACGGTTCCATCACTTCCTTTAACTCTTGTTCTTTCTCTATAACCGTTTGTTTGAATGTCTCGATTTCCAACTCTTTGGAATCAAATTTGGTCTCCAATTCAATGATCTTCTCGTCATAGTTGGACTTTTGGGTTTCAAATGTCTCCTTATAGGCAACCATTTCTTTCTCCAACTCTTGAGATCTGTTCGCCTGTTGTGTCAAAAACTCCAACTCCTTCTTCAGATTCATGTTAATGGTCTCAAAAGAAGATAATTTATCAAAGAGTTGTTCGTATTTGTGTTTCGTTTCATTCAATTCAATTTCCAACGGTTCCATCACTTCTTTTAATTCATTTTCTTTCTCTTTAACCGTTTGTTTCAATGTCTCGATTTCTAACTCCAAGTCTTTGCACTCAAGTTTGTCCTCCAATTCAATGATCTTCTTTTCATAACTTGACTTTTGGTCTTCGAATGTCTCGTTAAAGGCAACCATTTTATTCTCCAAATCAATGATCTTCTCTTCATAGTTGGACTTTTGGTCTTCAAATGTCTGCTTATATTCAGCCATTTTATTCTCCAACTGTTGAGATCTGTTCGCCTGTAGTGTCAAAGAGTCCAATTCGTTCTTCTGATTCATGTTAATGATCTCAACAGAAGATAATTTACTCAAGAGTTCTTCGCATTTGTGTTTCGTTTCATTCAATTCAGTTACTAACGGTTCCATCACTTCTTTTAATTCATTTTCTTTCTCTTTAACCGTTTGTCTTAATGTCTCGATTTCTAACTCCAAGTCTTTGCATTCAAGTTTGGCCTCCAATTCAATGATCTTCTTTTCATCGCTGAACTTTTGATCTTCAAATGTCTGTCTATAGGCAACCATTTTATTCTCCAATTCAATGATCTTCTCTTCATAATTGAACTTTTGGTCTTCAATTGCCTGCTTATAAACAGCCATTTTATTTTCCAACTCTTGAGATGTGTTCGCCTGTTGTGTCAGAAACTCCAACTCGTTCTTCAGATTCAAGTTAATGGTCTCAAAAGAAGATAATTTATCAAAGAGTTGTTCGCATTTGTGTTTCGATTCATTCAATTCACTTTCCAACGGTTCCATCACTTCCTTCAACTCTTGTTCTTTCTCTATAACCGTTTGTTTCAATGTCTCGATTTCCAAGTCTTTGAACTCAAATTTGGTCTCCAATTCAATGATCTTCTCGTCATAGTTGCACTTTTGGTCTTCAAATGTCTCCTTAAAGGCGACCATTTCTTTCTCCAACTCTTGAGATCTGTTCGCCTGTAGTGTCAAAGAGTCCAACTCGTTCTTCTGATTCATGTTAATGGTCTCAACAGAAGACAATTTACTCAAGAGTTGTTCGCATTTGTGTTTCGTTTCATTCAATTCAGTTACTAACGGTTCCATCACTTCCTTTAACTCTTGGTCTTTCTCTTTGAGCGTTTGCTTCAATGACTCGATTTCCAACTCTTTGTCGAAGTCTTTGGACTCAAGTTTGGCCTCCAATTCAATGATCATCTCTTCATAGTTGGCCTTTTGGTCGTCAAATGTCTGATTATAGGCATTACAGGCAAACTGATTGGCCATCTCTTCCATCTCTTGTTCTTTCATTTCATATCTTTTGTCCTGAAGAGAGAGTTTGTGTTTCAATTCCTCCACTTCTCTCTCCAATGACATGGCGTCCACTTTGGAGACCAAATCGGCGACAATTTCTTTGCACTGGATCTCGACCTCGAGGTCGACGAGAATGGCCTCCAATCCATACTTCGACTCATTGGCCGCAACCGATGGCGACTCCGACGACGACTCAATCGTGTCATTCATTTCGGACATGTCTTCCGTTGGGATCACTTCTTCCGGTGATTATAGACTTTGAGTGTCAAACCGATTGACACAACACTACAACAGTTGACACCAAATAAAACTCAAAACACTTTAAAATGCAATGAAATGCCGATAAAAACAATACAATTAAAACATAAAATAATTTTATAAATAAAACGATCGGAAAATCAATGAAAACATTGAATTAAAAAATAGATTCAATTAATTGTGAGAAAAATGTTTACAACAAAATCACAACTGATTTGAAGCGAAGGCGAGAAAAGTGTTGACAAAAAAAGTTTTCAATTTTCAAACCAAACGTTTGAGTGAAACGATTGGCTCTCAATGTATTGCCAAACGGTTTGCACACAAATGACGACAACTATTGTCGACAACTGGAAGAAGTGGTGGTATCGGAGGGATGGAAGTGGTGTCAGTGTCTTCAGATGACACTGATTCTGAAGCCGTTGCCATATTTGGTGTCTCGGCTGACCCACAGTCGAGCGAACGGTTCTGAGAGCCAAAGAAGTGCCGCCAAAAGAGCCAATAGACCGACGAATTGGAAGAGACCGTCGTATGAGTGGAAAGTGTCGCGAAAGTAGCCGACGACCAGCGGTCGCACTAATGTAGTGACGCCCACAATGAAGGCCGACGTTCCCAACGCGATGGGCAGTCGGTTGAGGCCCACGTAATCCATGGTGAGAACGCTGAAGAGCACGATTATGGCGCCCGACACGAACCCCAACGCTATGGTCACCACCAATAGTACGGTGAATGTGGTGGCCGTCGGTGTCATGAAGATTAGGAAACCGATGAGTAGAATACAAACGGACACTATATTCCTCTTCCGCACTAAACGCTTGTCGGCCACCAAACCGGAGGCCACTCTTCCGAATAGGTCGGCGCCGGCGAACGAACTCAAGAGTATAACCGCCTGATGTGTAGACAATCCCCGGTCTATAGCGAAGTCTATGATAACCATCTGATGGGTCATCCATCTGAAGAATAAACCGCTTTTAGTTATGCCTTTTTCTATGATATTTCTATTAAACTTACGCCCATTGAAAGGACACATGAGTTGTGCAGAGAATTAGATACAAAGGATTAGTGAGAACTACTCGCACTCTTTGCCATTTCTTTTGCCAATCACTTGATTTGGGTTCGGAGTGAAGTGTCTTAACACTAATGCTGTCTTCGTGTGATTTTTCTTCGAAGTACTTTTGCTTTTGACGACAAATACAATCATAATTAAAACAATTTCTCTTTTGATTCATTATCTGAATGTCGTCTTCTATTTGAAATGAGCTGTCAATCAAAGCATTTACAACACAATTATCGTCGGATCCATCGATTGGATTGTGTTCGCAATCGCACTCGTGTTTGACAACTACTGAATGCATTTCATTTTGCATTTCGTGTGCATTTTCTTGAGTCGTGTTGTCGACAATTGTCTGTTTCCTCTTTACATTAGTACCATCTTTGGTCTCTCTAATGATAGACAACTGTCTGTTAACTTCAATGAAAAGTTTATTCACAGTCGTCGAGTTGTTTGGAGTCGCCGGACGTAAGAGTAAAGCAAAGGGCAGTGAATTCAATAAAATACCGCCAATTATCAGGAAAGACCCGTTGAGTCCATATTTGGGTAAAATATAATCAATAATTGGGGGGAAAATAAAGGATCCAATTGTTCCGCCGGCGTATGATATGGCTGTGGAGGAAATAATAGTATAATAATTGAGTTATTCATTGCTGATTAAACAGTGAATATATCAAACCAGTGGCAGTGGCTCTGAATTTTTGGAAATATTGCGCTAATATGACCGGTGTTTGCATAAAAGACAAACCGATTCCAAATCCTTTGTTGTATTTTAATTTAATAAAAATTAAATATTAGTTTAAAATTGATTTTTTAAAAAGTAAGGCAAACCCTGAATTATTCCTATATATATTGTAATCTCTAGTATTGATGACGAGAAGTAACACATTATCATTCCGATGGCGGCGATTAGTCCTCCCATGAATACAATGGTTCGCATAGTATAGTGAGATAATAGCATACCCGCCACCGGACCTGTTGTTATATTTGATTTATTACATAGTCTTGTGATTGCCGTATACAGGATTGCTGTAAGCCTTACCCGAGAGGTGAGTAAAAGTGGTGCAGAGGCAGAAGGGCCAGGAGGCCGACTCTCGCGACAGTTTATACGTGTCCAACAACTGGAAGAATATCACGCCATAGGCCCGGACCAAACCAAATGTAATGCCGTTGATTGCGGCACAAGCTATCGATATAACCCACGCCCAGCCCTCGTCTGGGGTCACATGGATTACCAAAGGCTTATCCTCCGTCTCCTTTCTATTCTTCCAATCCATTAAAATTGTTAAAATGTTTCATTTTTTGGATTTTGTATGAAATGTGAATTACATTGTCATATGTAATACACGAATGACTTTTAGTAAATTATTTCTTCTTTTGTTGTATAAATAAATTTGTTTTTTGCAATTCATTTAGCGAATGAAAAAATGCCTTTAAATACGATTAATGTGATGTAATTTATCACAAACCTATCAAATGAGACGACAAAACCATTACAGAAGAAATTGTAATGTATTTATTCAAGAATTCAAAAGAGTTGCCGTTTAGTAAATTTATTTAATGTTTGTTAATATACAGAATAATATCAATAGATTATGTTTATGATTATAATGGCAAATGACTTTAGATTTTATTTAAAATATTTACTGCATAAATATTTTCCCAAAGCTTTAGAGGATTTTATTGTGGATTTGATATAATATTTTAACACTAAATAAATATATTTCCGAAAAATAAGAAGAAATAATAAAAAACAAAGCAATGGTTTTATTATTTAAATGATGTCTTTATTTAAACATTTTCTTTACATTCTCGTCATATTCATTACATGCGATATCTTTTCAGTGCCAATATTTATATCACAATTATTGCCATTTATATCATTGGTTTTGTGCGACTCTTTAGATAACTTGCCGTTATTTTCAGCCGATTTAATATTGACGTTGAAAATCACTTTCTCTAAGTTAGCGAACGGCGCCTCCAATAAGAAGTACAGCACTAATGCCAACACATAACTCAATATTATAGTAACCATTCCGTTGGTTAACTGCAAGAATATTTGATGACAAATACATTTTAAATCTCTATGTCTTAGCGATTGGCAGAAATAGGGCTATACGTACAAAATCAAAATGTGTCCAATCGGTGACCGACTTCTTAGTGAAGAACATAATGAATATAATAACCAAATGAGACAAATAAACGCCAAAACTTAATCGACTCAACGGCACAAACACGGGATGCGATAGCATTCTGTTGACAATTCCTTATATAATAGAAACTCGTTTGTTATTTGACTTGTCGTGAATGTATAAGTAATGATAGATTATAGGAATATATCATTGGTATAAAATCTATACATGTATACAGACCTCCGCTGCCAATACAGCAAACATATGTAATCCATGACAATCCGGTGCACCAAATGGTTCGCGATAGACATGAATAGAGGATTGACGAGACTCTGCTCGGCTCCACACCATTATTCCATTTATATGTAAATAATAGTACAGACAAACTGATGAGAGGACATACTATCCATGATATTATGCTCTGAGTCTGCATTCGTAAAACATATTATTATTTGTTTAACAAAACTCTTATCTTATTTGGGAAATAGATTTATATTTTATGACTACAGTATTATAATGTCATTTATTCCTATCTCGTATTCACTCAACTAATTATGTCTAATATTGAATAAATAGGGAACTCTGTAGTAATGGACTGTTTTATAGAGATATTCTTGTATTCCACGAATATTCTTGTTTTAAACATACATTTTATTCACTTGTATTCCAGTAGATAGTATAATACTAGTATTTATGGGCTTATTGTTTCAATGTAACAATGAAATACATTGTCAAATAATATTTTCATACCTGAGGTATTTTATAATTATTTGGTGTATTGAGTATAAAATATCCGACAAATATTCCGCAACAATACGGACCGAAGTGATGAAATGTTGGGAAATAGCCATATCTTAGATGATATTCCACATACCTTTCAATGGGAAAGATTCAAAAACAAAATTTTCATTATTTGTACACAAAGACAGTGTTTGTGGAGTATATCTAACTCAAGATTAATGGTGTGATCGCTAAGCAGTGTTGGATACAAATTGCCATAATATGTCGTTAACGCCGAACCTATTATAGAGATTATCAGAACCAATCCATTCAGTATTAGGCCATAGGTTTGACTCCTATTATTAAATAATTGAAATTTAATGTAAAATTTTATGCTTTAATACATTTTAGGAGTTAAAAAAGTTGTATATTTTTTGTGTAAATGTGTGAAAACCCATTAACACTTAAAAAGCAGACATTATTTGCGAGTTCTTGAAAACGTGAGGTCTTGAAAAAGGGTAATATTTTGTTCATAATAGTTGTTAAAAGAGAGTAATTCTTGTTTCCCATAAAAAGTCATTACTGAAAATTGTCTATTTATGGGCTTATTGTTTCAATGTAACAATGAAATACATTGTCAAATAATATTTTCATACCTGAGGTATTTTATAATTATTTGGTGTATTGAGTATAAAATATCCGACAAATATTCCGCAACAATAGGGACCGAAGTGATGAAATGTTGGGAAATAGCCATATCTTAGATGATATTCGACATACCTTTCAATGGCAAAGATTCAAAAACAAAATTTTCATTATTTGTACACAAAGACAGTGTTTGTGTGGAGTATATCTAACTCAAGATTAATGGTGTGATCGCTAAGCAGTGTTGGATACAAATTGCCATAATATGTCGTTAACGCCGAACCTATTATTGAGATTATCAGAACCAATCCATTCAGTATTAGGCCATAGGTTTGACTCCTATTATCAAATAATTGAAATTTAATGTAAAATTTTATGCTTTAATACATTTTAGGAGTTAAAAAAGTTGTATATTTTTTGTGTAAATGTGTGAAAAACCATTAACACTTTTTTTCGTCTGTAATAAACGCTCAAGAACTTTTGCACTCCAGAACTTTTTCCCATTATAAAACAAGTATTATCAACAATTTTCTCTCATTAAGAACAAAGGGTATTTTTCAGTAATGACTTTTAACAGCCAAAATTAAATTTTATTTTATTTTACAAAAAAGAGTGTTTCACTTGTCAAAAAATATACTTAAGAGGGAAAGAAAACGGGTGTATAGGTTTTTGAGTTTGTTACAATTGCACTCACGTGAATTTTCACATAAGTATCTTCAGTGTAAAATAACATTCACTTTTCATACCAATAAAATGTGTATACAATGAGAATAGCGAACAAAAACAGTTGAAAGTCTGCACTTAAATACCAAGTATTTATAAGACACTACAAAAAACGATTGAAAAAATATAATTATTTAATTAATGGCAAATTAATGAGATTACGATATAGAACATACAATATCATCAGGGCTAAACCAATTATTAATTAATAACAAATTATGCCACCAATTGTTTTGACAGTTTTTTGTCACATAAGCGTCAATAGAGTTGTCGATAAGAATCGGTCCTTAATTTGTTTAATAAGTTTGTGTTCATAAATAAAGAGATTATATAAGGCTTGCAGTAATTTGCTACATATTGTGATAATCCTACTGGTTTAATTTTAATGAAATAAATCACAATTATATTTTAAAAAAGGATAAAACTTAAATTTATAATATTTTACTTAATTTAGTATAAGTTAGTCACAGATCTAAATATTGGCAACATTTAAAAACAACACTCGTATCTTTGACTTTAGAAATGTCCAATCTTCTAAAAATGACATACAAAATGTATATTATATTCCATACATTACTTTATCTGTATTGTGCTGTTTATTGTATAAAAATACCGGTAGTTTTCTTACAATTAAAGTTTTACATCTCCTAATTTGTGAGAGCCGTGTATTATATTCTGTACATTCTGTACATTACCAGTACTGCAAGCATTACATGTGTCATATATTCTTAGGCAAGTAATCCATTTTATATGTGATATAATTAATGAATCGCTTATGACTTACCAGTGGAGAAGAGGGGCCACAAGAAGTTGACAGCAATTATGCCACAAACTGATGGAATGATTCTATATAACAATTAAATAACTATTAATTCATTTTTATCAAATGTATTATAATTTTCTTTATTTAATACAAACCGAATTAATCGATGAAAGATAAAGAGCACCACATTTAGGTTGCCTTTCGTCTTGTGTAACATCGGAAGCGTTATATAAACAACAAGTAATCCACTGAAAAGATAGTAAAAATGCTTTAAAGTTACATATTTTTTATATGGAATATAAGAAAATGTCACAAAATATGCAATGAATTCATACCTGAGGAAGAAGAAGGTCTCGACTAAAGCCCAGGCGTTGAACACTAATTGAAACATAAATGACTCTGGCACTTTTCGCACTTGTGATAAATTCTCTATTAAATGATTGTTTTACTATAACCACTATAATACTATTTACTACCATTTACATCTTAATTATCAACAATAGCATGATATTGAGGTAACATAAAATATCTTTGGCGGCTTTCACATGCACACTAACTAACAGCAGGTCTTTATTGTCAATACTCTAATCCCATGGACTGCAGCCATACGTCGATTTTCTTTGGCAGATGTGGCCATCAGTTGATCATAGTTTCGGAATAGACTGGTTGTCACTTCTCTAAATTCTGTGAAGGGCGATTGACTAGGCAACTCGTTTATCACTCTGTGTCTACTGTAGTGGTGGTTATTACAGTAGTTGCTATTATTTTAAGATACCTATTAATCTAAACTGTTTTAAAATATCATTTATATTTACGAACTCATGTCTACGGAAATGAAATATTATCTAATGTTATATTTAATTAAAATTTTTCAGTGGTATTATTTTTAACAATGGATTTTTGCCTTTGAATTGTTGGAAAGACATTCAAAAAATGCAAATTTTTAGTTGTATTCAAATTAAACAGAGATTACATTATATGGATATATTGAAGATGACTAAATTAAACTGAATGTTTGAGTTAAATGCAAAAAACATATAGTTTACTATAATATTTCAACACATAAGTTTACATTCTTATAAAATTAATTTTTGGTTGTTTTACAATCTGTTCTATATTGTCCTTATCTTCTCGAGAGATATTAACGTTATTATTACAGAAAAGTAATTTTGTCATTGAGCTGTGCGAAGAAAATGTTTGAAATAATGCATTTGTTTTATTTTAGATGTGATTAAAAATTTCGGTTTTTTGAGTATGTATGTCTCTTTGGAAGACTACTTATGAGTTAGGTAAACTCAGCACTAAACTGTCTGTAAAAAGCGAATTCAGACGTAGGTAAACTATCCGAAACTTTTGAACTAAAAAACCATAAACACAAAAAAGACATTTATTTTAGTTAAGTTTGATAAACAGCGACAAGCGTTGAGATTCTTAGATTACTTTGCGATAAGAGAGGTTTTATTTCATCCTTTTGACAATTAGAGGGAACACAAACGCCGACACGAATGGCACCGACACTGTATATACCACTAAACCTCTCTGAGAGGTGCTCGAAGACTGTGCCCTCCGCTGTCGTACCGCTCAGATTGAATAAGTGGTCGCTGTGTTTGATAAGACCCGACTTCGGCGGCAGCTCTGGCCTCAGATACAGCAGACAATACTTGCCGTGAAAGGGCTCGTCGTAGCCGTCGTCGGGCACCGAAATGACAGTGCATTCGTCGACATTACCAAAGCTGGTGACAGTGCCCTCCAGGAAACCCGAAGGAATAATACTTCCCATTGAGTCAATGACTATAAAACACAATATTTCTCATATGACTGTCATCTCTAGATATGATTGCGAGTTATTTAAGACAATGTGATAAATGAAGCGATGCTCACACATAACAGCCCACGTTTCTTGCTTTCGAAGGCCCATCATGATCTTAAACAATGACCCTGCACATTCATGCGATATGTTCTCCAATCGGTGCTGAGATTTGGCCACAAATGGCAACGCTTTGTCCCATAGTTTGTCGGTTAAATCGGTTGTCATTTTATGCCAATTATATAATACATTGCCCTCTAATTGTTAATGCATTTATCAGAAATTTGTTTTATAAGTCATATAATTTGACACAAGTATGTTCGTATATTTATATCTAACATTTATATTTTATCTTAACTAAAAATGTTCGTCAAGAATATGAATTTATTTAGTATTAATTTATATATTAATGTTAATAAATATATTTTCTTTTTAATGAATAAGAATATGAAATCCAATATTCTTTAATTATCAAAATTAATTAAATTATAATTATTTCTAAATTACTTTTGTCATCAAATTAATAAATAAATTAATAATTTAATAAATGTATAAAAAACAAAAATGAATTGGTAAACATACTAAAAGAAGTTGTTTGAATTCTTTGGGTAGTGAATAACGTAGTTATTTAACGTCACTTAATAGGCGAAGACAGCAGAGCATCAGAAGTATTAGTTATCAGCATAAGTTTCACGTTGTGATTTCATTACAATTTGCAAAATACTTAATGAACAATATATGACACACAAGAATGAGAGACATGTGAAGCCATAGTTGATATAATATACGCGAAGACATCACTAATTTTGAGATTATATTTCACTTAAGATTATATCAAACATAGAATTTATGTCATTTCAATGCACTTTCACTTTCAGTATTACACAAAAGATTGATTCAAATGCAGTCAAGCACTCAATGATTGCATAGTTTTAATCGTGTTTTAAGAGAAAAATATTTTCAATCAAAATGTATAATACAATAGCTTTTGACGCCAATGGCAAGAACTGCCTCAGGATATGATCAAAACAAAACCAAATAATCAATTGTTTAAAAATAATTTAATGATTTCAGTAATGTTTGATTGCTTAACGACTAAATTAATTATTTTCACAATTATTTGTCTCAATATATAGAATATATAGAAATTCTATGACAACTATGAGCTATAATTTTCGTAAATCTTTCAGTAAATGAAATAAATAAAGAAAATCTTTTGTAAAACACTAGATATATGTTTTGTGTGCTCAACGAATGTCTATGGGATTAACGTTTTTAAAAACTTTTATGTTATTTGGTTGAGAAAACATAATTCACTCAATTTTTAACATCCAGTAAATCAAGTGAAGATTTAATGCTTAACCCATCATAAACTCGATTGCATTTCCTTTTAGTTGTGGGAAAAACACAATTAATTGTTTCATATCTAACGCCTAGTGAGTTGTCATAAAAGCCTTGAATCTTTAGAAAACCAATCAATACAATAAACAAAACTAGATTTTCATTTAAATAATAAGTTCAATAGTGTTGTGAATTTTCCACCGCATAATAAACAAATAATCTATCTATTAATTAAGTAATAACTGCTTGAGAATTAGCTATTAGGTAAATCAAGTTTTTAAGTAGTTTATTGAACAGACAAATACTGATTTGGTTTAAACAAATAACAATAATAAAAGTGTATTAATAATGAATATTGGTTGAGGGGTAGAGCCAAGAGTGTATAATAATCGGTATGTGTTTCGTAGACTATCTGTCAATAGTTTTTAAATCTAGTGATAAGTTATGGTTAAGTAGTGGACAATAGATGTGCACATTCTTTCAAAAACAGTCCATTCAGTCATCAATTATATTAGACTTTATTTTCTATTGTATTACTGGTTATAATGTGCAGAGAGTCTGAGCCCAACCCCATGTAATTTGTAGACTTAATGTCTTTAAACAAAATTCATTAACGCTTTAGAATCTCAGAAAAACTTAATACTTTCTATAAACGAAAAAAGTTAGTTAGTCAAAATAATATGTTTATATAATATATAAAATGTAAAAAGCATTATATAATTGTAAATAAATTCTATAAAATTACAAAATAATATAAATACTTTTATTTAATAATAAATGTATTGTAAAATCAGTTTAAGTATCAATCGCTAAAACAATTCGCTGCATAAAACTTTAAGTACATGTCATTAAAAATTTTCGTAAACATTTAATAAATGAGTTGTGAAAACAATTGATTAATCAATCAATAAAAACAAATGAAAATGAAAATATAAATGTCTCATAGAAAACGATTTATTTAATTTTCTACTATTATTACGATTTCCAATACAACACAATAAACACAGAATTTTTATTCAAAATCCCTTTTCATTTACCGTTTGTTATTAGTCAACTAACCAAATCGCGAGTTAAGTAGTGTACTTACTTGCAATCGACTTCAGTTTATTCACAAAACGTCTAGTGAATGTGAATATTATTTGAATTGTGAATTGAATTGATTGTAAGCCGGACTCGTTGTGATGTAGGCATTGGTTGTGATCACACGGTTTATATCAATATCGTTATTATACTCGCCGTTAATATTCGTTTCATTAAAGTTATTGTCAGCCGTCGGATGGGTTTGTGTCGGCTCTAAAAAGTAGACCAGAAAGCCGAGGATGACTGCAGCGAACGACACAAAGTAAAGCCAATGAAATTTGAAGCGAAATAAATAGATCCCAAACATAAGTGAATAGAAATCGGATGAAAGTATGGATATATTGAGCGCCGAAGCATTGCTTAGTTGTAGGACTAATGGCATTGTTATATAAACTAAAAGTAAAGACATAGAAAATCCGATTACAAGAGATATTTCCTGCCATTTCTCAAAATTGATTGCATTCACTAATTCGTGTCTTTCCAGAAAATATCTGCAAAAGAAATGTAAGAAATGTTGACAATATTTATATAAGAGTGACAGTACATGAAAGACAATTCCTTAGTATACAGAATATTTGGCATCTATTTTGAAGGTTTGGAAAAAAGTTATAATAAATGATTTTTTCGACAATCAATCGTTTACTAAATTTTCGTCAAAAATAATATCATTTTATGATAAATTATATTTTGTAAAATAAATTTTTTATATTAAATATTGACTCGAAAATCGATTTATGAAAAAATAAATTACTATATATTTATAGACGAAAAAAGAAGAAGAAAATGATATACAGATGGGAAAGGAATTTATAATCACATAATTCTTACAATTGAATGCCATTAAGAATTGTGCCAAAGAGTCCAATCATTCCGAGAAATTCCACAATACTATAGCATTTGACGGCATATTCTTCCGACACATTGGAAATGGCATAAAGAGCTGCTCCTAATAAGCACAGCATATCTCCAAGAAATCTATTCTTCGCTGAGCATAAAAAAAAGAAAAAATAATATTCAAATGAGATGTTTATTCATTCATATGCGGCCATGAGTTATGTGAAACTGATAAGCAGTTTGTTTGTGATTTTAATTTAGAGTTTATTGTGAAAAGATAGAGCAAAAGAGTTGGTCATTACGCGTGATATCAGTGCTAATGTCTTCGATGTCGGCCCATACGAGACATCCGACACCCATTAAGGCAATACATGAGCCCAATATATGGAGTAAACCAAACCTAACTTTGATGAACAGCCAGGAAAGGGCTAATACTGTCGGCAATTGTATACAATCTAAGAGCTAAATAAATCAATCGGACATCAAATTAGATCAAAAGAGGAAACTCCAAACGAAAGAACCAAATGAAACAAAAATAAATAAAACAAATCAAATTAAAGGCTTATAAAATGAAATTTTATGGCAATGTATATATACTCTGCAAAGTTATCCCATAAATGGCATCGGGTTTATAGGAAAATAACGCTGACATAGCATTAGATCACTAAATCGATAATAATTTTGTGCTTAATTTAATTACACTTAAAGAATGCAAAATTTTAAAATCAATACAAATTTGTGTATAAAATGTGAATTATAAGCGAATATTACAGTGAATTATTGCTTATTTCACGAGTTTATGAATTGTTTAAAAAGAGTATTTTATGACTTTTGTATCGATTTTATGAATTACTATATAAAAAATACTATAAAAACGAAAACAAAAATTGTCATCAAATATGATATGTTTTATGTACTCTTTATATTGAATAACGAGATAAGAGTTTGTTTTTTGATTAATTTGATCATACTTTTGATGTTACATAATGTATATAATATCTAAAATGTATTATATTTTGAAAGGTATTGTATGGCTGGGAAGGACTCACTTGAATGCTTGTAAGTGCTGTGTATTGAAATGCTTTGATGAGGACATAGTTGGCCCCGACGTCCACCACCGATAATAACAAGTATTTCCAGCCTCTCATACGAATGACATGCAATAAGCCTTTATTTGTAGGCCTGAATGCCAACCAAGTTGTGAAAATGATACACAACAGACAATAAGTTAAAAAACTTTGAGCTGTAATGGAAAAGAGGGAGAGATATAAGAAGAGAGAAAAAGAGAGATAAATGGAGTTCTCTTATGCTTTTAAATTAGACGATAAGACCGTTAAGTCCATCAAAACTAATGAATTTGAAGCCTTTATACAGAAATACATTTTAGCATTCAATTCGTGTATTAGATTCGTAAGAAATTTTTTTATATAAATTACTCAAATTAGTGGCAAAAAACGAGACAATTCTTATGTTTAAGTAAAAATGCATTAAAAGAAATGAATATAAAAAGAAGAAACAAATTGTAGACAAGAGGAGAACGTTTTGGGAATTAATTGGAGAAAATTGTCTTTTGGTATTTATGAATCACATTAAACACAGGCCTCTGTTTCCACTCAATAATTTAAATGCTATTCTCTTGAGATAACTTGATGTCAATTCTCGTTGTATAAGATGTACACAAATGAGTTTCTATTACTTCCCCCGCCTTTCTTGTCTTTAGCTTTCTATGAGATGTCAGATATTAAATCGGAAATCATTTATAATTGTTGTATTTTTAAATCTCAAGTAAGGTTTTTATACAAATTAAAAGTGAATTTTTATGTGAGCTCTCAGACAACGACATTCACTGCAGACTACGCTATGAATACAGCAATCGATCGCAGAATTAAGCCATCAATTCACACAATTCATCATCAATTTTGAGATGTGTTTTAACGGCTTATATATACAGTTAGAGACTATAATAATAAAACTCACAATATGTTAGAATTAAAATACTGGCATAGGATGTAATGCATCACTATTTTTCACAATAATAAATATCGCATTTTAACAAAACATTTCAAAAATTATATATTTATTATATTTTGATGAATTTTACTAAAAAATAGCTTTAAGATTGGCCTTAAAATAAGAAGTATTCATGTTTTAAAATTTACATTTCAAAGAATATTAAAAATTTATCAAAATCTCTTCCAATATTATGCATGTTTTCTCAATTTTGTGTGAAAAAAATATTTTCAAAACTTTTATTTTAAACATTTAAATATTTATAAATTTTATAAGAAAAACACACGAAATTTTTGATTTGATTTTTATAATAATTTAATCATAGTTTTGTATAAAGTTATAAATTATTAAAATAGTAATAATAAATGTAGTAAATGTCTCACCGCTTGGTATATGGATTTTGTAATAATTCTGTATGTATTGACTCGTGATTCTTGTCGTACAGATTAGTAGTGATAAGAATTGACTTAAGAATAGTGTTTTCCAAATAGTTCTGCAATAAAATATTTAATTTAGTTTAAGAAATATTTTTGGAAATAAAATAAAATTTAATTCAGTAGATATAAAAATAAGAAAAATTTAATCTATTTTCAAAGTGTGTGTTAACTCAGAGAAGGAATAAAGTGTCAAATTATTTGCACATAAAAACAACAAAAAAATTTGTGAATCGGACAAACACTGTGTGACATCGCATCCAAAATCAGACTATAAGTTATTCCCCATATATTTGATGTGTTTTTAGTGTATTATTGATCTCCGACTCCGACTCAGAAATCATTCAATCTTTTTTAGGTTTTCTCTTAAGAAAAACTCAATGAAAAGTATCTTAAAATTGAAACAGAATTTCAAATTCTTTGATTCAATTTAAAGAGAAAACTATATTAAAGAGAGTATAAAATAACATATATTCAGAGATTATATAAAAATACGATATCTGAATTACAGAAATTTGTTTTAAGTAATTGCGAAATCTTAGAGTCTTTTTGAATTATGAAAGATATTTGCTTTTTTCAATCAATCAGTTTTATTATACAAATATATTATATATTTTACATTTTTTGTATTATATAATTGTAAATAAATTCTATAAAAATTACAAAATAATATAATTACTTTTATTTAATAATAAATGTATTGTAAAATCAGTTTAAGTATCAATCGCTAAAACAATTCGCTGCATAAATCTTTAATTACATGTCATTAAAAATTTTCGTAAACATTTAATAAATGAGTTATGAAAACAATTGATTAATCAATCAATAAAAACAAATGAAAATGAAAATATAAATGTCTCATAGAAAACGATTTCTTCATTTTTCTACTATTATTACGATTTCCAATACAACACAATAAACACAGAATTGAATAAGTTTTAGGGAAAAGTAAATGGCAAACAATAATCAGTTGATTGGTTTAGCGCTCAATTCATCACATGAATGAACGTTAGCTGAAGTCAAATAAGTGTTTTGCAGATCACTTACACTTATAATA